GAATTTTGAAATTAATTAAAGTAAGCTTTTGTGAGTTCAAATGTATTTTTTCATTAAGGAAGTTAATTCTACTTAGTTTTAACCATTTCGAGGTATTTGGAACCGAGTTTTTAAATTTCAGGAAAATTGATGAAAATCACAATTTTTCATTTGCTCCCCAGTTACCGATTTTTCTAAAATTTTGAAATTAATGAAAGTGTTATTTTATTTTTCACATGTGTTCTTTTCATGAGAGAATGTAATTCGAGGTATTTGGAGCCGAATTTTGAAATTTCAAAATAGATACGAAAATCACGATTTTTCCTTTGGTCCCGTTTATTGATTTTCTAGAATTTTGAAATCGATCAAGGTATCATTTTAGATGTTCAAATGTGCTGTTTTCAATAAAAAATGTAACGCTACTTAGTTTTGAACCATTTCAAGGTATTTGGAACCGAATTTTTAAATTTCAAAAAAATGATGAAAATCACAATTTTTCATTTGCTCCCCAGTTATACCGATTTTTGTAAAATTTGAAAATTCACGAAAGTGTGACTGTCGCCTGTATTCTAAAAGCTCACTCACACTCAAACTCATTGAGTGGGAGATCTTAATCTTCTCATAACGTTTCAATGGCGGTATTTCCAGCCGAACAGGGGCTTGATTATCAGTGATTTACCTTATATCTTTCCATCTATTCAGAAAAAACTTTCTCATTGATCAGCATTAACGAAATTTATATGTCACACTCGATGAGTATGAGTGTGAGAGAGCTTTTTGAATACAGGCGTTTATGTTTTCAAATGTGTTCTTTTCCTGAAGGAATATAATTCTACTTAGTTTTGAACCATTTCCAGGTATTTGGAACCGAATTTTTAGATTTCAAAAATTTGACGAAAATCATAATTTTTCATATGCTCCCAAGTTAGCGATTTTTCTAAAATTTTGAAATATATGAAAGTGTGATTTTATGTTTTCACATCTGTTCTTTTCATGAAAGAATGTAATCATATTTAGTTTTGAACCATTTAGAGGTATTTGGGACCGAATTTTGAAATTTCAAAAATTAACGAAAATCACGATTTCTCCAATACTCCCCGCTTATCGATTTTTCTGGAATTTTGAAATCGATCAAAGTATCATTTTATGTGTTCAAATGTGTTGTTTTCAATAAAGAATGTAACTCTACTTAGTTTTGAACCATTTCGAGATGGTTGGAACCGAATTTTTAAATTTAAAAAAAATAATGAAAATCACAATTTTTCATTTGCTCCCCAGTTACCGATTTTTCTAAAATTTTGATATATATGAAAGTGTGATTTTATGTTTTCAGATCCGTTTTTTCATGAAAGAATGTAATTTTATTTAGTTTTGAACATGCATTTAGAGGTATTTGGGACCGAATTTTGAAATTTCAAAAAATATACGAAAATCACGATTTCTCCTTTGGTTCCCGCTTATCGATTTTTCTGGAATTTTGAAATTAATTAAAGTATGCTTTTGTGTGTTCAAATGTATTTTTTCATTAAGGAAGTTAATTCTACTTAGTTTTAAACCATTTCGAGGTATTTGGAACCGAGTTTTTAAATTTCAGGAAAATTGATGAAAATCACAATTTTTCATTTGCTCCCCAGTTACCGATTTTTCTGAAATTTTGAAATTAATGAAAGTGTTATTTTATTTTTTCACATGTGTTCTTTTCATGAGAGAATGTAATTCGAGGTATTTGGAGCCGAATTTTGAAATTTCAAAATAGATACGAAAATCACGATTTTTCCTTTGGTCCCGCTTATCGTTTTTTAGGAATTTTGAAATTCATGAAAATGTGATTTTAAGTTTTCACATGTGTTCTTTTCACGAAGGAATGTAATTTTGCTTAGTTTTTGCCATTTAGAAGTATTTGGAAACGGATTTTTAAACTTCAAAAAAATGACGAAAATCACAATCTTTCATTTGCTCCCCAGTTACCGATTTTTCTAAAATTTTGATATATATGAAAGTGTGATTTTATGAATTCACATCTGTTCTTTTCGTGAAAGAGTGTAGTTATATTTAGTTTTGAACTATTTAGAGGTATCAGGGACCAAAAATATACGAAAATCACGATTTCTCCTTTGGTCCCCGCTTATCGATTTTTCTGGAATTTTAAAATTGATCAAAGTATGATTTTAGTGTTCAAATGTATTGGTTTCATCAAATAATAAATTCTACTTAGTTTTGAACCATTTCGAGGTATTTGGAACCGGATTTTCAAATTTCAAAAATTGACAAAAATCAAAATTTTTCCTTTGCTCCCCACTAACCGATTTTTCTAAAATTTTGATATTCATTTTTAATTCTCACCACTAATGCTCCCCACTAACCGATTTTTCTAAAATTTTGATATTCGAATTTTTAAATTTCAAAATATTGATGAAAATCACGCTGTATATGATTTCGATATTTTTAGTTTTAAACCATTTCGAGGTATTTGGAACCGAATTTTGATGAAAATTGATCAAAGTATGATTTTAGATGTTCAAATGTTTTTTTTCATCAGAGAAAGTAATTCTACTTTGTGTGAACCATTTCGAGATATTTGAAACTGAATTTGCAAAGCTCCAAGCTATTAAAAGTTGTAACTATTTTAAAAAACCGCTAGTATACAAAATTTTTTTACAAAATTAAGAAATATGTAAAGAAAAGGTTGAAAATTCAAATAAAATTAAAAATATTTAAAATGTGTCAAAATTTTCAAAAATAAAACACAATAGTATGTATGTCAAAAATTTTAAAAATTTTTGAAAATGTTGAAAAAGTTTAGAGAACACTTCAATATGTGTCAAAAATTTTAAAAAATTTAAAAATTCAAAAATAAAAGGATATTTGTCAAAAATTTTAAATAGACATTGGCAGCTGTCAAAAAGTTTAAAAATTCTAAAATGTTTTGATAATTTTGATAATTAAAAAAAACACTTTTGTTAAATTCGATAATTTTTAGAGGTTTAAAAATTTTAAAAATTGTAGGATGCACCAGTACATATTTTGTAAAATTTTTTCAAAAAATTAAAAATACTTGGGTATGTATCGGTATTTGAAAATTTTTTAAATTTTTATAACCGCTAGAGTATATTTAAAAGATTTTAAAAAATTAAAAAAATATAAAAAACACTTTTTCTGTTCCCATGTAAAAATTTAAATATTTTAACTTTTTAAAAAAACATAAAAAACACTAGTATAGATGTAAAAGAAATTAAAAAGTTTAAAAATACTTTGGTATCTATCAAAGTTTTTAAAATATTATTGAATTTCTAAGTTTCTAAGAATTAAAAGGTAAAAATCACTAGTAGCTATTTAAAGTGTTACATTTTTTGGGTATTTGATATTTAAAAAAATTTTAGACTTAAGGTGCCTATATCAACCTCAGGGAAATAACCTGATCAGATAGATTAGACGATTTTACGATTCATTACTACTTTTTATTAATGTTTGTAGGTATATGTAAATTCTAATATATCTATTGCTGAAAACCTTGCGAAATATTTCCAGATGAGTTATACGTATATGTATTGAAATTTACTGTAGTTAAAGGTGATATAATTAAACAATTTCTACTAAGTCATATAATTATTTTTCAAAATTTGCTCACATATATTTGGCCGAAAAATTACCCATTCTGCCCTCCCTTCAACGCAGCACTTCACTTGCCATAGTAACTTCTAGTTTAGCGTGTTTCGTGCTTACAAAATTAGCGTGTTCTCCAATTTCCCAGTCGCAGCACCTCACGTTCAAACACGAAAAAAGCCAACTTTGACACCCGAAAAGTACATGAAGATAAAATTTTCGTCTTATCAAATATATTGCAAATGTTCTTAAAGTAGTCTAATCTAACTAAGTAGGCTATTTCCCTGAAGTTGATATAGGCACTTTAAAAATATGAAAAATTTTGAAATTTTAGAGTTTTTAATGTGGTCCAGTACAAAAAATCATGATTTATTCTGATTCTATTTATATCATTTCCAAGGGATGATAATGTACCTCTAAACGATCACAAATAAATATTTCTTTTTTCCAAAAATTATATAAAGAACGCGAGAATTAAACGAAAAGTTATATTAATTAGGGTTTCACCCCGAGCAAACAAAAGTGGTCCATTACTTATTTTATTGTTAAATTGTTCTATTTGATTGGTTATTTTAGACAGATCGTAGAAGTTTTATATTTATAGCCTGCAAGGCTGCAAAACGTTTGATACTGGACGAGTTTTATTCATTCTAGCGTGTCTGGTCTAGGTAACCATAGTGATTGAAGATTCCTACAAGTACACATGTTGGAGACCATGCCCCTAGTAATCCATCCAAGTAAGTCAGGTTGCGAGGCAGCCATGATAACAGGTTGAGGAGACTGTAAGTTAAAAACATTGGCGGTGGTCCCTGTGTGGATTATACTAATATAGGTCTTCAGAGAAGGGAATGTATCTATACCAATAAGGTTGGTACTATGCGAAAAAATGTTTTAAATTCGTTGTTGTAGAAATTGCGTAGTTTTCAAAGACACAGCTTATGAATAATCAACGACGGAGACACAAAGTCCATAATTAAGATTTTATAAATTAATTCTTTTAGAGCATAATTGCTTCATATTTACTAGTTCTGAAGTCTAAGGTCAGCAGAGAAATATATGTATATATTTGTTCATGTATTTGTTAGACCAGAGATTCGACCTTTATGTATAACCATTATTATTTGTTAGACCATAGTTTCGACATGCTTGAAAGATGACATTTTGATGGCAAATTTCTCTGAAATAACACAAAGTTGTTTCGAAAAAATCTTTACTGAACACCACTAATGTAAGCCCTATTATCTGCTGAGGTGCTTGTGTGTCTATATATATACAATTAAGCGTTATCGGACTGTGTTAGGTAAGAAATTAACTGCGTTGCGGCATTTCAAACTCGTTATAGGTGCAACCTCATACCCAGGGTCTTTATTCGTGTGGGGGAGTAATAGATATTGACATAAGCACGAAAAAACTCAAAACAAGTTGTTAAAATAGCTTTTATAGTATTCTCATTATATTTAGAAATCGTATTAAAATTAAGCTTTATATACTGTCACACTAGATATCCCAATTTGTTCCCATTATTATTTAATCAGTTATTACAAAATATATATGTTTTAAATGGCCAGGCATATACCAAGGTTGTCATTTTCCCCATCATTTGCAGTTTTTCTTCCTTCTGGAAAAATACAATAACAAGATTTAAGGAGTATTCGTGGCCGATAATGTCGATCAATCCTTATATTAATATCAATCCTTAATAACCAGAGCAAAAAATTTTAACGATAAGGGGGAGGGAGGATGTTGATACATTTACTCAGTTCTGCCTGATGTATTTCTTTTTCCCGTAAGTGCAACACAAAGCGTTAAAAAACTTCAAATTTTTTTAGGGTTTTTTTGCGTTTAGTTTGTGTTTTCACGCAAAATATATAAACACTACACAGACACGACGGAAGTTGATCTAACTCAGCGTATTATGAGTCTTATCTTTGAACGTGTGAAAAGAGAGAAAATTGATATAAAAACGATATATATCAAGAAATATTTTTGAAAGCGACGGGCGTATACATAGCCTTTTTTGCACCAGTTGTCTGAAGTTGATGCAAAATGATGTGCATTTATTGGATAATATGAAACTAACCTAACTTTATCTAACCTTTATCCACGCCAGAAAGGGGGCACCTTGTGTGGAATGAAACGAGGTGCCTTTGGTAATCTTTTCAGCTGTTGGATCACAGGTCGCGCTCTTTGCTGAAAGCGATGTCTCAGTTCTTCAAGTCTCTTTGTTATTTTAGGGCGGAAATGTGGGCGCCTCACGACAGTGGTTTTCTGGTAGATTAAAACAAGCACGAAATTAATTTAAGAATTGTTAGATCCATTAAAGATGGATTCCTCATCAATCATTGGTATTCTTACATGGCATCTTTCAAAGGTGATTTATCATCTAGGGAATCTTTTAGAGTTGTCAGATAACATGCATTGTTCTTTTAAAAAATAATATGTATTTAGCACAGGAATTTTATCAAGAGTATATTGATTGTGAGTTATGGCTTACATTTATATTTTGTAAACAGTAGCCGGCCTGGCGATTCAAACTCCCAATGGAAAGTGTTCACAATGGTTCATTTATTTATCAAAGAACGGTTGAATTGTCAGGCAGTTATACATCATATTGCTCTATAACCAGTAGCGTAGCCGCCGGCCTGACTCTGAAGGAATAATCTACTGCGTTTGAGGGAGGGGGGGGGGGCATACCAAGAAATACACATATACTAACCCTGCATTTCGCCAAGCATTTCAACTTGTTTATGTAGCATCTAAAAAAAGGCATATCGCCACTTTTGCAAGTATTGGCCTCGAGTAGACAATTGATCTAAAAAAATACGTACAAATGATCATATGAATAAAAAATATTTCTTGTTTTTGGTTGTTACAACCCAAGCTCAACGACATGTTCTACACGATATAAATGATAAATGAGGGTAAATCAATTACGATTTTGTGGCACTTCACCCGATGTATGTTAATTCTAAAGGTTTTTAAAGCGTCTTCGTGTGAAATCACACACAACTCAATTCAAGCCAGGAACAGTTGAGAAAAAATAGTTAACTATCGGTCCTCCGGCAGGAATCGAACTTACAGTGGTGATCAAAAGTCTGAGTTCAGTCCATAATTTTTCTTATATTACGATAATTTAAAATAAATGATATCTTAGATGAGTTGGAGATTGGATATGTTGATCTAAACTTGCGTATTTCATGATAGTTAATTCTCATGGTATTTAAGTTGAATATGCGATGCGTATTATTCTTTTGGTGGACCAAAGATGGCAGAGGGCCAACAATGATGGGATATTTCGAAAAATTGCGAGAAATTGAGATGAGGTTATATATGTCGAACAAAAAGTTGGAAACGTTTTGTGAATCAGGTTCGTATTCAATTAGATGAAAATCTGCGACACCAGGCTACTCCTGCAAAGTAAAATGGAAAGAAAACAGAAGGAAACCAGTGGCCAGTCCTTAATCAATGGTGGAATAAAATTGAACCAGTAATGCTGACAAAACTGGATCACTCTATCCAACAAAAGTTAAAAGCTGTTTTCAAACGTAGAAGAGGTGATACAAAATATTAGAATAGTGCCAATTTTTGTTATATCCTACTGGTTCCACTCTATTCCACCATTGATTAAGGATGGTCCAGTGGTTTTCCTTCTACTTTCTTTCTATTTCCCTTTGCAGGAGCAGCCCTTGGTCTTGCAGATTTTCATTTAATTGATGACTTACAAAACGTTTCCAACTTTTCGTTCGACACATCTAACCTCACCTCAATTTCTCTCTGTTGGCCCTCTCATCATTGTTGCCAAAAAGAATAATACGCATTTCTTATTCAACTTAAATACCATGAGAATTAACCAGATATTTATGGGAGGCATTACTATCATAAAATACGCAAGTTCAGATCAACATATCCAATCTCCAACTCACAAGATATTATTTATTGTAAATTATCGTAATATAAGAAAAATTATAGACTGGACTCAGACTTTTGGTCACTACTGTACGCTTATGCCATGCCGGAGCAGTGCTCTTGTCGTCTGTAGATACTTACGAAACATTGACGATTGTTGATTGTATGATTTCGGAGAGAAACTTGTTTCTGAAACAACATATAATAATGACTCAAGATTCATTTTTTTAGCTTATTTTTCTCGCATAATGTGACCAAAAAAGGGTCTTTTTGTGTTGTTTCAGGTCGGTTTGAATTTACAGTGAAAGAGTGGAGCCGGTTTTTCATCAGAGTTGCAAAAAAGCTGCGGGTACGCGGGTACCACCCGGAGGAAGGTTTGCTTTGAATGAGGTTTGTGAGAAAGGTTCAAAGTTGAACACTCTAATTGATCACATGCATGTACCAATTTAAAAAAACAAATATTTCTTTATGCTGGTTGCCACCTGACTCGGTGACGTAACCTCATTTTGAGGAAGGTTTTCAAAACTTGAAATCCTACCGGAGGAAGGTTGAACCCTTTTTCAACTCTGTTTTTCATTTGCGATATTCGTAATTCCACGCTCGATTGCATGAATTTTACGCAATTAAGCTGATGATCTTCAGGTGAGGAGAAATCTAATTTCAGTTTATAGCACACCTTGCATCCCATAGCCCAACGTTTCATCTGCATGATACACCGTAACCTCGGCGCCATCCTTAAGCAATCAATCATTTTCTCTGTGTCTATCTGTTAAGAAGCAGATTAGAACAATGAAAAATAGTTTCTCACCTTATTCGAATTTTGAACGTTTGTGATCGTTATATGATTATTAGCTAAAGCCTGACATCATTTTTGTTTTCAAGGCTCATTAATAAAACACCTTTTGCTGCACTTATGATTTATATTACGATTCCAGTTTGATTTCCCTCACACTAGCTTGCAACTGTGATGATACGGATTGTCAGATAGTCTACTTTTATGGTGGCAGATTCGTGTAGATTCTTATTTATTGTGACAGAGTTGCTTCATTCTCGTTTTTCCCAGTAAGAATTGTGAAATAAACAAATTTTATGAGATACATGTCACTTATTTAGAATATATATACTTACCAGACACTCCTGAGCAGGAATGGTGTGATTTCTTGAATGATTCTATATATTGTGATAATGAAAGGGTATTTCTTAGGGCTATATTGTTGAAGTGCACACTCTACTCTGTAATTTATTACTTCTTAGTCTACACTAGTAATCTTCTCGGCCAATCACAGGGCTTCAATAATGTCTCCGAGAGTTGCTTTACAAATAAATTTATGTAGTTACCACCCTAATGATTTAAAAGAATTACCTTTTTGCAGTCTTGCACGCAATCTTTGAATGCCATCAAGCAATCACTCTTTGTTGAATTAGATTTCAAACAGCCAAGTAAGGCAAAGAAACACTTTTTCTATCGGAGTAAATAATTTTGCTATGTTAAAAATTGCTGAATTCTCTTTCCACTCATTACAGAAAAATGCTCTCTTTATAAATAGCCTAACATGATTTGTTAAAATGCATATATAGACAATTACCCCACATCTCATAAATCTGGGCCTAGGTGGATAAGGAGGCTATAAAATAAAAAAACTTCTTTAATACAACAACATCTTAGTACTGAAAGATTACAGGTCGGAACGGTGTTGATCGTCAATGCAATGCAATCTTTTCTTCAATTGTCCTAAAATCTCCCTACTACTAACTACGCGGACTATAAATTAAGGACAGCCTGCTGTATTTATATTATCAAATATCAAAAATTTACCCTTCCACCATGGACGCATTTTTTCATACACTTTTTAAATTCGAGAATGCACTCCTTCCGGGAACCACCTTTCCTGCGGCATTCACGTAAAGTTTTACCGCAACGCTGGAAAGAAAAACAAATTTAGATTATTAGTTAATTTTATTTTCTATTTTTCAGGTACTTAAACTTCCGTCAATTCTCCCGTAAACCTCAAAACAAAATGGCGGCTGGACTCGCGCTGAATTATATATACATATTTGATTATGAAAAATGACATTGTGGGCATAAAAAATACTGTTTTAAAAAAAATATATTGCTCTGAATTTACCATGAAACAAAATTTTGCTCCTCCTCGATGATGTCTTCGATGATGGCGACCAAAAACACTACTCTGTACATCTTTGTCTTCATCATCTTCATCATCCTCTTCATCATCATCTTCATCATCCTTTTCATCGTATTCATCATCATCTTCATCATCATCATCTTCATCATCTTCATCATCATCATCTTCATCATCATCTTCATCATCATCTTCATCATCATCTTCATCATCATCCTCATCATCATCTTCATCATCACTAATAACTTCCTCTTCCTCGTCACCTTCATCCTCATCGTCAGGAATAACTTCATCCTCATCATCTTCTTCATCCTCCTGATCATCATCCTCATCATCACCAATAACATCTTCATCATCTTCGTCATCATCCTCTTCACCGTACTCTTCTTCATCATCATCATCGATGACATCATCATCATCAACATCATCATCATCATCTTCATCATCCTCAATAACCTCCTCTTCCTCATCACCTTCATCCTCATCTTCAGGAATAACTTCATCTTCGCCATCTTCTTCATCATCATCATCATCATCTTCAAACTCATCCTTTCCAATAACTTCTTCATCATTATCGTCATCTTCTTCATCATCGTTGTTATCAACGCTATCATTATCATTTTCATTGTGCTAAGAAAAAAAACAGTGAATGTGAAATTTGCTAAAGGCCTGAATTACGTATTCATGTATGAAATTTAAAATTGTCATCAAAATTCAGTTTGGCTCCTCACTGGACGATTCCTGTATTATTGAAACAAAATGATAAACTAAGGAAATTCATCATCACAGAAGGAAAGAGTCAGACTTCAATGGAAAGTTTGGTTGAGAATTTTTGCAAAGTGTGAAAAATATCGCTGTTTGAAATAATAAATAATAATAATACTCGTGACAAAACATCACCATTTCCCTAAAAGTTCACACGGCTTTTTTCGCAACCAGATTTTCTGGTTTCACTAAACTCTATTAATCTTTTACTAAAACTCCGAAATAGATTTAGAAGGTTGCCTATTGCGAGAAATAAATTAAAACACATGAGGCAGTGCATATAATAAGGTTTATAACAACATAATTTTATACTAACCCTGCAATTCGCCAAGCATCTAATCTTCCTTGAAATGCATGCAAAAGAACGCAAATAACCACTGTTACAAGCCTTTGCCTCAAGTAAACAATTTCTCTAAAAAAATAAAAAAAAGGAAGGAGGGAAGCAAAATTATTTTGGTGAAATAGAAATAGCCTGAATAGGGAATAGGAAATTCAAAACACACATACACCATGATTTCTATTAGTGCATGTATACGCATAGGTTTAGCTTTTAGTGTGCAGATTGTAGATTGTATATAGATTATTAAAACTGATTTAGAGTGCAAAACGTAGGGAAATGTAATCGAATCGATTTCATGCACAATATATTGCATATTCATTGCTTTGCGGAATCGCTAAAAAACATGTCTAAAGCCGGTTTTCCACTGGCAGGGCCGTAGCTAGACCGCTTAATTGGGGGGTGTATATTCATATATTCATGTTTGTATACCATAGGAACAATAGCATACAAAAGAAATCATTCGGGCATATGACGAATATATGAATATGCACCCCCCCAATTAAGCTTCTAGCTACGGCCCTGTCCACTGGCGATATTTTTCGCACGAAGCGACATTTTACTTTTGTTTCAGAGCTCTCAACTGCAGCCATCTGGAACAAATTGCTCAAATGCAAAGGAATAATGTCGCTTCACGCGAAAAATATCGCTAGTGGAAAACCGGCTTAAAGTAGAATTGGAGCTGCTGACGCGACAAAATATCGAACAGAAAATATAGGTAAAGACTTTTGCCCGCACTTATTAGCGTTTAATGTGAAATTTATGAATAATTAATGAGTCTAACTTGCAATCATTGCGCAGTATTTTGGTCACCTGTATACATCTGTAATTCCCCATAAAGGTCTCATGAATTGTTAATTAATATATTAACTTTGATACAACCAATCTTAATTAGTATTCATAACTTTGTTACACACATGCCCTAATATGCATTAAGCTTAATTTATTCATTTCACAAGCACGTTAAAATACTCGCGGCCGATCTGTATGGGATTTACAATGGCTCGTGCTACGCACTCGCCATTGTAAATACCCATACAGATCGGCCGCTCGTATTTTAAATAGTACTTGTCAAGTGATTGATTTCTATTTATGGCAGTAAAACAAAACATGTTTAAAAAACTTACTGTGCATGCCAAAGCATTTGTAAATTTTTCTACAGGGAAGGTAGGTCTTGTAGGTTTGTTTCTCTGGAAAAAAATTAACATTTAAGTCAATCTGAAAAAGGGTATAGTACCGAATTGATTATTTCGCCTCCAGCTCGGTAAATATAGGCTAGTAATCACATCGCCTTGGGCGACTAATTGTTAAATAATTTACAGCAAAATTTTGGCACTGAAAAATTAGGTCAAACATGCAATGGTCTTAATGCAATACAATATTTTCCTTAGTTGTTCTAACATTGCTCTCTAACACTAACTACATGAACTAGTTCAAATTACAACCTATATATATATACTATAAATACTTACTGTTTCAACATAAAAACACTTTCTCATACACATTCTAAGTAATATAAAGCAATTCCTGGAACTACTTTTTCTGCGGCATTGAGTTAAGGTCCTCTTGCAACGCTAGGAAGAAGAGCAAATTCAGTTTATTGTTAATATTCCTATATTATGCCTGTATCGCTAAACGATATTACATGCACGAACAATACTGTTTTTCAAGAATCTTTGCTCTAAATTTACCATTATACATCTTCCTTTTTCTTGAGGGGGTCGTTGATTATGACGACCAAAAATACCGCCCTGAACAACTTCGTCTTCATCATCCTCTTCATCGTCATCATCTTCATCATCATTGTCATCAAGGCTTTCGTTATCCTACGAAATAAAAAGTTGAGATTTTCAACAAGCAAAAATGAATTAAGGAAGAATTAAGGTAGAATTAAGGTGGTCAACTACGGCAAAATTACGATCCTGTTTGAAACATTTAGGCTATACAGTTTTAAAGGTTTTCCTAATGGATCGTCTATAACTATTAAACGAAACCTTTATTGATTAGGGTTTTACTCTGGACAAAAATGTGATCGATTGACAAACTCTATTGCTTTATCGTTCTTTTGAATTCTTCTCCAAAGTTTATGAATGTATGCAGAACCTTCATTAATGCTTTTCTCATCGAAAATTCTTATTCCGTTTACTTTCGCACAAGATAACTCAAAAACTAATAAACGTAAGATTACAAAATCTAAACACATTTGTCTTGAACTAAAAGAATTTCGTTTAGGCCAGTAAAAGAGCGACGATTTTTGAGAAATAGATTGGTAAAGATTTTTGAAAACAGCTTGCCAAACTTTTGTTATTGCACCAAAATTTAAATTGTTCTAGTTCAGCACCTCGGCCAATATATTGAAAGCTAAATAAAAAATTTAAATAAACAGTTAGTAATCGACTAATCGCATTTTTAAAATTCCGCTATTGGATGTGTCATAGTTGGGTGTAGGCATTTACCATCCTCCATTAATTGCAATTCTCTTTCCAAACTCATCCTTTAAATTTACTTTTAATTAACTTTACGAATCAATATTTGGTATATTTTTAATGATCTTGGATAAAAAATATAAAACTTTTAGAGTTTTAAGTTTTAAAATGGAAATAATTTCAGTGGACTTGCAATGGCAAGTTTGCTAGGTTCCAGTTTCAATTCGATTTCGGACTAGCCCATTCGCATAACTCACAAAAATGCCCTATAGCCATGATATGAAAATAAATCAACACTAATAAGTAATGGCGGAAATTTTAATTTCATATATGCATTCAGCATTCTGTGTAATTTAATTTTGATATATATGTTCCTCCAATTTTAGGATCCAATCATATACATGCAATATCCTTTGTTCATCTGAGCGCAAAATAATAGTGTCGCAACGCCAGTCTGTTTGGAGCAAATGATACAATATTTGGACAGAACAAACTTTATAGCAGGTTTAAGAGAAAGGAAGGCCAGAAAATATAGGTAAAGTCCGTAAAGACTTTTGCCCCAACTCATTAGGCAATATTAGCGTGCATATATCGTGAGAATGATTTCAATTTACCGGTTTCAACTTATTCTCGGAATAGGCCATTCGCATAACTCACATATGCATTAAGCATTCTGTGTAATTTAAATCCCTCGTAGATACTTTATTTTATTTTTCGTACAGGATTTTTTATTATCAATAGCTATAGACTATAGTGTAGTGCTTTCGTCAAGATTTGCTGGCAAAATTTTTTTAAATATTTTACTTGTTTTGAATCAAATCACCAAAACTAATCATGAGTTAAAATGAAGTCTCTGGTCACGTATAAATAAATTATAATTAATCATGTTCAGAGAGGACCAGCGCAAAGAGAAAGCGCAACATTCCACCGCAGATTTCTAGAGAAATATAGGTCCGATTTATACGAAGACCCATGGAAAATGCAGGTTGCATTTTTGCAAAGTTTTAGGTCTGGAATACTCTAATTTTCTGATCATATGCCCCAGAAAAACTGTCTGCAAAAAACGATTTGATATGCAAAAACGGAAGCGTAAGACCATAAGGGACGCTCATCATTTAAGCACTCTGCCATATCTAATCTCCAATTGCACGAGTTTTTCCTGGACACAAAATGGCCCATTTTCTTTATTGATCCATGCTCAAACTTTTGCTGTACGCCTTACGATTTTAAATATTTTCTTGGGCACGCAGGCGTGCTGGTTTTGTTTACGCTCTCCTGCTGCATCTGGATGCTTTGTACGACGTGTTATTTGACACGCATGCATTCTATATGTAAGTAGCAATAAAATAAATTGATCAAACAAAGTGCAGGTTATAAGCATTCAATACATCAAAATCTGTCTCGCAACAAATTTCAGTATAATCAATGCAACATATTTCAACCTATTCTAACCTGTTCGCTCAGTTTATTGCTTAGTTAAAAATCGTTGTATACACTCAAGAAAATATCAGGTATTGATAAAACATTATATTTACCAATTTTGCCATGAATAGCTATTTATTTGTTCAATTTTGAACAGCTGGCTAGGAAGCAGCAGTTGAGCCAATTTTAGAAAACTTTGCGGAATAAAAAATGGTTAAAAAAGCCATTCAGTCGATACAGTGGCGTCGCCAGGTTGCTCAGACTGGGGGGGACGAGGCACCAAAGCGCAAGACCTCTAGGGGGGTTCGGGGGCATTCACCCCCGAGAAAATTTTTATTTCTAGGGTCTCTAAAACGCTATTTCCCGCATTTTCAGCCAAGTTTTATGACAATCCGAAAGCCACAGATCGGAGATTTTTGTTATAAACAAACAGTTTTTACAAGGGGAACTTTTTGTTGTTAGCTAATCAGCCTAATCTAAATGTGTCAACAAGAGCATCCAACTCAATTTTATCAGCAATGTCTCTTTCTATATGCTGACTATGTTATTCTAATGCTATTCTTTACGTGATCAAAAGTAATGTTAATTCGAAAATTTCTTTATTTACTCTGCTGTTGGAAATTAGAATCATTGTACCCCCCCCCCCCTTTTCTCTTCAGATTTAGAAAAATCCCAAAAGTGGTCTTTAGAATAAGTGGGGGGGACGAGTCCCCCCCAGTTCCCCCCCTAGCGACGCCACTGAGTCGATACAAATTAGATTTCCTTGTATTTGATATTTTTTATCCGAAAGCGTCTCATTTGAGCCAGATGAAAACTCGTTTACTACAATCCAAATTTATGCTAAAGAAAAAATTTCAGGTATGCTAATGACTATTAATAAATACCGTGAGTATGAAAGCAGCGAGAGCGACGTTTATGTAAAATCTAAACAAACCTCGTCTTTCTTCTCATTTTCATAGACGAACGTTGGCAGCTCTTCCGTCAGTTCCGTGGGTAGGAGTTCTTCTGTTGTCGGTCGGATAAATTGAACTGCGTTAAGTTGCGCATTTGCGCAATATAAAACGCACGCGAAAAGCAGCAAAACTGCGAGAGACTTCATCTTTGGCTATGCGATGTCCCGACAAAAGTGTGCGCGATAGGCAATGATTAAGAACGTTTTATATGAAGCTGATATTTGATCTTTTGTTGTGTCGCGTGAGCTTTGACGCACATCCACACCTACCATCGTCAGCATGGCGTGATAATTTAATTTAAAAAATGTTTTATTTATCGTGTGTCGTGTTTCGTGGATAAATCGAGTTTTTTACCCCGCTGCTTTATATCGTTTCAGGACTTGGAAGTTCCACATTTCTGCTGACCAGTAACCGAAGTTTTTCGACGTAGATGTATTATCGACTAGTTCTGTCATGTTTAATACAGTTCGGTCACTTTGGTCAGTTTGGCGAATCGGCGCAATTTATGGAAAAATATTACGCATAATTTCCGTAAAGTTACAATTGAATAAACACAGGGTTTCCCTGCCGACCAATGGCAGAAATTGAAAACAACTTAAAAGAATCATACACATATATCATAACATTTTACTCGTTAATCCCACCCATGTAGGTTACTTAGTTTTGGCGGATATATATATAGAACTATGGAATTTATAGATGTATAAAAGATATATAGAACAATAACGTCGCTAAGTGGGAAAAAAAGGTTGAGTAATTATCTTCGGCCGAAATTAAGCTGGTTCTAACCCGATCTAAAAAGCGCAGATTAAGCGTTAAAGGTTGCAAAAAGTCAATAGAAATGTTACTTTAATTTCCAATACAGGAACGTTTTGCGTGCTAAACTACCACGCTGAATATCCGAGAAAAGCTTTTCCCAGGTAAAAGTTAGCTGAAAAATGAACTGCAATATCAGATTAAAACAAAAACCAAATTTAAATCAGGCTACACGACACACGATACACGAGAAGGAATTATTATTATCACATTTCCTGCTGTCTTCACGTCCAACTGAACAATGATGCTGCAGTTTTAGCTCTGTTTGCTTTATTAAAACACGTCCTGTTTGGATATAACGCTCATGAATACCCATGTTTTGTTGTGATAATGGAGTAGGAACATTACAACTTGACACTTGTCATTGCCTGTATTGCTTTATTAATTTCCTTAATAAAACAAATTGCATATAGAATTAAACATATACGTATACGAACCTCTATAAAAATAAAAATAAAAATAAAAATGCATTAGTTGATAGTTTTAAGGCGACAGCTTTTGCCGCCTGAGGAATATTCAAGTTAAGATTGTACGAAGCCACATATATGTATATGTATACGTATATATAAGAAGCCACATAGCTATTTAATAATGGCTGAGATTGTAAAAAACTATATGGTCATTCTTTCAGCAGTTATATTGAACATCCGACTATTGTGTGGGACAACCTTATAATTGAAATAGCTGCATATAATGACACTAAACTACTTGATAGACAACGCACAAATTGCATACGTTGTTGCAATATGATGTTTTAGCTAAATGATATCTAAATATATCCTTTAACGAGTCGCAATTAAACCGACGTAATACATATGAGCCAAAAATGTAACATTGAGACTTTCTACTTACCTCACATCCGACTTAGGAGTTAGGATGCGATTGATAAACTCACTGATGACCTAGAAAATCTGATCCTTACCTCTTAACACACATATTTATCTATACCAGTGACTACCCTTACTTTCCAAGGGCAAGGAATGAAGAAATATGTATGACTTGCTTTTTACAATAGGCAAAATTATGCGTAAGAACAATTATAGGGACTACATCTCCCACAATCTACTGTTACTCCCCCAAGTTAAGAAAACATTGTGAAATTCTTTAATTCGTAGCTATTTTCAACTGCCGCATTATACCGTTCGAAAACCATTATCCTGCTTGCGGGAGAGGATGCATGCAGTAGACTTATGGCATTTTCCGAAAATTAGAATCTCGCATTGTCTAGTAGGCTACTAGTGTCTTGTGCACCGTCGCAATATTTTTAATCGAACTTGATTATTCCAAAATCAATCGTCCCAATTAAAACACATAATTTATTCATTTATACCAGTGACTACTCTTATACTTTCCAAGGGCAAGGGATGAAGAAATATGTATTAAATGACTTGCATTTCGCAATATCACAAAATTACGTAAGAAAAATTATAGGGACTGACACTGTTTAATTTCGTGGGAGTGTATATTTATATATTCGTCTTATGCCCGAGTGATTTCATTTGAAAACTATTGTTCCCTTCGGTATGTAAACATGAACATATGAGTATATAGCTAATCTCGCGACATCAGGTACTCGCAATGGGACTTTATTAGTACATTGACTAAACCATATTAGGTTTCATCTGAGTTCAATGTCATCCCTTTGTTGTTGTTAACACCTGAAATAATACGAGTTTATCTCGTTTTTCTGAAGGAAAAATCTCCAATTATTGTTTTACCATTTGAATCAAACTTTATTAGTTGAAATTTGAAAACTAGAATGCTTGAAATGATCTGAACCCAGAAATTTTTGATAAATGAAATCTATGCACGAGAACGTCGAGAAGGGTTGTATCGGTCTTTCAAGGATGCATTTGTCAAATTCTTTCCACCCAGGAGGTATGTAATTATAGGATTTAAATTAAATTGTCCTGACTGTGCCAATTTTACCATCTAACGATGCGAACAGCGTCTTCAAACAACGCGCATTAAGGCCCACGCACACGGGATGCGATTCGCGAACGAGACATAAATCTCAAGTTTTAAGAAGCTGGCAAATAAAGTCAATTTGGAAGGAAATTTTGAGAGCTATCGGGACCAGATAAGTTAAAATGAATTCTGAGTTTGGCAAAAAAATCGCCAAACTAATTTGCTTTTAAAAACTGAAAAAGTACCGGCCTTTAAATGTTGAATAACCACTGCCTAAAATCGACGAAATTTTCGACGTTTCAAGCTAAGAGAGTAAGAGTCTTCGTTACGAGAGTTAGTCATAACGTCGAGACGAATTTTTCTATTTTAGACGGATCAGCTATCAGTAGCGTAGAACTGAGCACGATAATTTGAAGGGGGGCGCTCACATGCATGTGTACTGATATACTCGTGTACTGCCTAATCAATTCCTTTTAAACTCGATTGTCTTTACAGTCTGATAAAATGGATATACTAGGAATATGTGCTTCCTAGTTATATCGTGCTTCCTACGCCCCTGGTTGTTATACCATGCACGTACATTTGTCCACTTACGGTTGCCCAGGTACAGGCACGTGCCGTTCTCATGCATACCACGTACATTTGTCCTGACAGGGTTTCATATAACTGGTCATTTTTAAATATTATTCCCAAAAAGCAGACGTTTTCAATATCGGAGTCCCAACAACGTTAATTAATCAGCTATTCCGAACTCTCGACTACATGTAGAAAAAAAGCCAGTAGACAGGTGAGACTGTTTGCTATCAACGGTAATCCTGTTCTGCCTTAACTTGCATATGCTGTGTTGACAAATTCGCATTTTCACTTCCTTCCTGACACGTGAGGATTAGCAGAATAAAACCACTTGAAATTACTACTCCTACGAGGGTAAAATAAACTTAAACTTTCCTGCAAAGAAAAATACCCGTGTCAAGGTGGCTGACGTGACAGAATATTTTTATGTGTGTGCACTCAGCAAAGACCGAGGACGAATGACATAGGCACGGGTACCCATTTTATCCGTGCCGTGTGTATATGGCCAAAAATGGCATAAATAAGAAAAGATAATGTTCGTTTCCAAGGTTAAAATTCACGGATTGCAGAAATATCCAAGGTAAAACTATTCGATTAGCAAAACATTCAGTTTTTAAACAGCAGCTCTGTCGATCTCCTGGTCACATTTTAATTGTTATATTTTCACTCAATGTATTTCATAGTAAACATATTTCATGAAATGCAAATAGAGGACAAGCGACAGCCATTTTGTCACTAATTTCTGGAAATGACTATTTTTAAACCGTGACTTGTTCACGAGACAAGCAGTCTATCAAAAAGCTTCTATTTACCTTAAACACTAAAATGTTCCTTTAGGAAATATGTCAATATTATATAATGTTCTTTTGGCGTATATTTAAATATAATTTATATATACCAGTTTTATAATGTGGACAAAAGGTAAAAATTTCTGAAAATGTCTAATTACATTTCTACACTGGAGAATACAATAGTGGTGTACAGTCTATGAGAATGCAGTGGCGTATCAAGCATAAGTACCTTTCGCCATACAAATATTACGCTATTATAATACTATTCATTTCTTTAGGAATATTTTCACAGCTATAAGGGCATATGATGATGGGACTAAATCTTTGTGCAAATTTCTACCTTTAATATCGATAACATGGAAAGAATCGGAAAAAACGTCAACATGAACTGGAAACTCGACTTTGCAATCCAGCAGTTAGGCTCAAATTCTCACTTTCAAATTTCAAATGCTCAATCATCCAAAACGCGAGAACCAAGCCTTACGACGGTTTGAGCCAAACATTAGGAAAAATTGAGGTGACATCGGAATAGGCTGACGTATAACTTTCTGCATGAACGGGCGTCTTTCAGGTTGTACACCGCTCACTCGACCTCGTTTTGGAACGAATTGTGCTACAGGAGTTTTCTAGAATCAGATAAAAATCAGTGTTGGAGAATGGGTACATGGTCCTGCTTAGCCGAGTTGATGATCTGATGTATTGAAATAACTGTTGAAGGACGTCGACACGATGCCAACCAAGGTCAAAGCAGGGGAGTTCAGAGAATCTGGATGGAGATTAGGGGAGATCTTTCCTATACACCCCCCCCCCCCACCCTTTCACTAGACAATTGTTTTCCCAATGTTTTCCTCCCGAGTAATGCTATGAATTCCGCAACAAAATATTCGCATGAAGGCCAACCGCCAGTTTCACTTTTCTCTGTCTGATAGCCTTTCGCAAGAACTCATACTACCTTGAGGCCATGTTTACAAAGAGAAATATCAATATGAAGGCAGAAACATTCATGCCCAAACGTTTTCAATATGCGTTCAATTATCATATGAAATCCCTTTCCTGAATCAATTATTCTAGAACAACAAATTTTCTAATTGCGCATGTTCGCATGAATAAAATATGGGAGTGAAATATGGAGGGTATATAATTTCTAATATTCATAAATTCGTGTTCAGCTTTATTTACTTAATGTGAAATCAATTGTTTTTACTTCATGAGAAAAACAAGAATATCTGAATAGCTAACCTCGTTGGCTACAATCTATAGCCCAGTAGCCCACCACACAAGAGAGCTATTAGGGAGATTTAGCATGAGGACGTGAACGTCAAAGACGACGTGAAAATGGCGAGTAAATGGCGTGGCATGTCCATATTTGGGCGCATCACGTCATTTATTCGCCTTTTCACGTCGTCTTTGACGTTCAAGTGCTCGTGCTAAATCACCCTATTGAGCTGAGATAACGACCTCACGAAGCAGTTAGCTCAGCCCGAAAACCATCCGCACACGAGAGAAACTTGCCGCCTCTGGAGGCGAATTCCTCATGAAAATTATCCGCACACAAAAGGAACTTGCTGCATGACAGCCTCGCGATATCTTTAGCTCAGCTAATAGAGAGCTTTAGATTTGACTACGGCTTGCGCTAAAGCTACGAGATTGCTTACTGTGCATGGCGCGAAACAAACGTTGTATGCATACGCCACCTCGTGAATGCCGGCATGATAAACTTCTCCGAACACAATAGCCATAGGGAGCTCTAGCAGTGACTACTAGTACGACTACGAGTACGAGATTCGTCATTCTCGCGCGTTGTTTGCTTACGCCATCAGTCAAAACTCGTAGTCGTTGGGCTTTTGAGTACGAGTTTTTTGATAAATTTCGTACTCAAAAGCCCAACGACTACGAGTTTTGGCTGATGGCGTAAACAAACAACGCGCGAGAATGACGAATCTCGTACTCGTAGTCGTACTCGTAGTCATTGCTAAAGCTCCCTAATAATGAACCTGTGGCTGTGCTGTGAATGAACGCATGTTCATACTGTCAAATATTTCGGAAATATTTGCGCTTACCATTTCGGTCATAGAAACAGTTCTCTCAAATGTTTTTCAGGAAAAAATGAGAAAAAGTATCAGATTTTATTGCTTTTTAAATCACGCAGTACGTACTACAACGTTTCCTAAAATACCGTAGTCAGATGAGCGACGGCTACGAGCACATGGCTTCATTACTAATGATCACGAATAAGTATCACGTAAATATGACGAGTCTCGTAGCGGTAGCGGGACAGCCTCGTCCCCGGCACGTGTTTCTTTTTAATATAATTGCGTATTTTTTGTTTCGCAGAAAGAGACGCGCGAAGGGACAGAGACGGAAGGTGGGCAATGCGCCTGGTATAAAATGCATTCAAGATGGCGGAAAGTTAGAATGGAGAAATATTGACCGAAGAATTCGAAGATGTCTTATGTACGCTTTCGGGAATGGAAAGACAAGTACATACTGCTTTCAAAGCAGCATTATGCCACGGCAGGCTGGCAGCAATCAGTAAGAATGATTTAAAATTGAAGTTTTAAACGATACAATACAAAATCTTCAAAGACAAACAAAAAACCTCAAATGTTATTTTATTCTGTGATTGCTGTCAAACGCCTAAAAGTTTTATAAAACTTTCCGAGGTAGCCTCCCACAGATCCTCCATATTTAAATTCCCAAATTTCTTTTAGAACCATTTTGTTCCTGCAAACATGCCCCCCTCGCGCTGAATACCAATTTCTTAAGTTAAAGCCAGAGAGAAATACCTATGTGCGCGTAATATTACGATATTACACTGAATCGCTAATGAAAAAATTCTATATTTTTTGTGTTTATTTAAATGAAATCAATCTAACAGAAATCATATGAATGATTAACGCTGCTATGAAGTAGACACGTGGGCCTTTTTGCGGAAACAAAACATGTTCTGTGTAATACAGTATTTTTTCAATAAGGGCCTAAGATTGGAAACAAACTCCCTTTTGCCCGTTTTGTCAAGAAAGCTAGACAAAATCCCTAATACGTCCAAATACCGCGATGTTGTCTTTCAAATTAAACTGTTGTTGAAAGAGTTCAACTATTTCGAAATTAGAGGAAGCCGCCGCGTGTTAACAATCGCTACTTACTTATAATTTATTTGGTTGAGTAATTTACATGAAACGATCGGTGGCTACAAAAATATTTGACAAACATCACTTATTAAAAACTTAACCTACAATATACAGTAACGCAATTCGGAGCAGGAAAACAAACCTTTAAAAAAGGCAACAAAGCCCTGGCGAGTAGAGAATGATGAAAATATCATTTAATTATCATCTATCATTTGCTGTCGAGTGTCGAGGAATCTTTTGACCGCGCGCCTTTGGTGTGGTTTTCGATATTGATTGCATGAAGATTATATTAGAGTGTTTCGAAAACGGTTTGTCTGTAGAGTTCTAGCAAGTAGAGTCGTGAATCCTTTTGACTAGTGATATTTTCTTTCACATACAGTAAAGAGAGTATTTATTTAGATTATTATTATAGCCAAATAAATTACTGGATGTTGGTTGGTGAAGAAAAGTACAGTTTTTCATTAATTGTACGAGAGTATAAATAATGATTTTGCCAAATAAACAAACTATTACGGAAAGATATTTGCATGCAAACTAAACTGCCCTGGAGGTACAAAAAAGGCCAGGTAGGATGAACAAAAATATTGTCGAGAATATAAAATAATAGATAAAAGTCTGAAGACTGTGTTTGGAAAGAAACTACCTTACATGTACTGAGAACTACGTCCTGAAAGATCTCAGCGAAGCGCTTGGAAAATTTTACGACTTTAATAATAAAGAAATAATGATGCAATGTTGCTTGATGTTATAATTAGGAATTAATAGTATTTGTGATGTTTGAAAAATTTTTCAACATCGCTTGTACCATTTCTGAATTGTACACGTCTTCGCATGCATACTGCAAAAATAAATGTTAACAATAATAACTTTTACCTTCCATTTTCCATTATCATCATCGTCCTCCTCAACTGCTGCACCTGAACCATTTCTGCCCTCATCGTTAGGTTCGTCTTAGAATGATAATTAGAATTATCTTTGTATAGATATTACATGGAACGAGTGATCGGTATACCAGTCTGGAATTCGCGGAAGGGTTTAAATTCCTTGCCCTTATTTTGAAACTATTTTGATACACTTATAGCGACAGGTATGAGTTAGGTAAAAATACCATTTGCTTATACATCGTCTGCCGAGGGTGTATGTGGAAAGAAGCAATTTCGCCACAGCCTCTATAGGTTCGAATGGATAATGTTGAAGGCAGATAGCGAACAATGTTGCAAGAGGGAAGCTTTCTATTATGAAGAGCATTTTTCCGATTTAAATCGAAATTAGAATTCTAATCATAATATTTCAAGAATTGTACAGCATTAGACTTACCCTTGTGGGGTACTTAACAGTAGTTGTTGATGCGTTGGCATATTTTTAAATAGAATAGAATAGGATATGAAATGTAAAATGGAAGTTGGGTTACAGAATTAAACAACTTAAACATTACGAGTACAAGTAGCTCTCTATGCGCTCTTTACAGGGTATATTATATAGCGCTCTTTACCGGATATATCATATAAAATTATAGCGCTCTATACAGGGTATATACGCGTTGTTTATTAACGGGAATACTTTCAGTTAGCTATGCTTCAATAATCATACAATGACAGAATACTCCTGCTTTTCTACAAACTGCAAATAAGTGATCATACCTCTCAACTTTGAGGAGATTTTCGCATTAATCCAACATACTGAGCAAAACAAGAGTAATAAAAAAATAGAGCATTCCATCGCTGCTCTTCGACATCCAAAACTAAGTGTTCTACGCTCACCTTGATAACAGTATTTTAGACAACAATTGATTTCAACTATAGTTAATAATCAACGTTTTAGGGAACAATTACCTAATTTGATTGGATAAGAGTTGATACTATAAGGTAACAATGTTCATTATAGCTTCACGATGACGCATTAATGCCATCAAGCCTTCACGCAGTCTTTAACACTTGAACTGATATTGTCTGTTAGGTTTAATCGTAGTGCATGGAGATAAACAGTAACAAGATCTGATAGTTGATAAGTTTTAATATATTATAAATTATATCCCAACTTTTATAAGGAGATCATGCACTAAAAGTAATATTTATATATCCGCTTTGGATGTATAATTTTTGCAATAACATTGAAGAATATGGAGTTTTGCACTTCAGTGGAAAACAATCTCATCGGGGTGTAAAAAATTACCCACTTTAGCAATATACGAGGACAACACAGATTATACCCAAAAACAAAAGTGCGTCAAAATGAGTGGAAGAAAATGTAGATATCGAACGTAAAAGAGAAGTACTGATTCAGCGATGAACATGCATTAAGCTATACGGAAGTTGTTCCTACAGGTACGCAATTAATTTCTCGGAACAACAAAATCAGCTGCCATGCATGACGTGATATATGCCGGGTAAGTTTCAATATATTCTCCCGCTATAGCGAAAGGCATTGAGAGATATATAGACTGCGAAATATCTAAGCGTGTGAAACAGCTGACCCGAGTGTTTTATGAAACATATACTCCGACTTAGATGTTTTTCGGCGATCACTTGCGTGTACTCCAGTTGTCCACATAGATCTGTAGGTCTCATAGCACTATATTTGGCATTACTGCTGCGAAGAATTCATCTCTGTATGTTTGAAATGTCATTTTCGATCAATCCTCTGATTTGAATTAAAGTTAAGCTCTTTTTTACAAAATAACCTCTATTTCTACCCAAAAATCCAATTGAAAATCCATTCGCAATCTTGTTCTGCAATATACTTCCCTATCGTTTTCTGACCCATTTCTTTCATTGCTTTGTCTAATTCTTATTTTGCTACAACAAAATTTGTTCCCCGATCGCACCTCAAAAGTCACGAATGGCGAAGAATCTTCGAAGAACGCAAATAAATGAACTTGAATCCATTGTCTCCAAAATTTCAATGTGGATCGCTCGACTATTCAGGCAAGTGAAAACCAAACCCAATCTCTTTGTGTTTACAGCTCCCCCTCTCAATCTTTCTGTGCGTATTTGCCACGGTCCGAATACGTCAAACGCAACGTTTGTGAATGGTAATGGTGTTTCTAGTCTTTCGGAAGGTAGATCGGGCATATGCTTTCCCTCTGAGCTTTCGGCACGTTATACATTGGCTGATGAGTTTTGAAACTATTCTCTTAGCTCCAACAATCCGCGTGATCTGTCGTCCTTAGTGGTGAACGTTTTGGTAATAATGCATTATGGCAAGTTTTGCCAGATAACATCGTTTGGGTAATATAGCTGGATGTTTTTCTCGAATCATTTGGTCTGCTTGTTTCAATCGTTCTCCAACACGAAGAACTCCATCATCATCAAGAAAAGGATCTAAGGGGTACAAGCAGGATTTTGGCGGAACTGTTTCCTACGACGTTTGGAGAGTTGTGATTTCTTTACCATACGTTTCTGGGTCTTTCCGCATTTCTAAGTCTTTGTCGTTTATTGCAAATTACGGGATTGATCTTTTGGTGAGCGGTTTCTGATGTGCCGATTTTCTTCAGAAATTCCGGGCCCTCGAACCATGATGACGTCATTAATTGCTTTGCTGGTTTCCCTCTTGTTGTAATATTTGCTGGATTCTTGAGATTCTTGACCTGTATTTCCACTGACTGTCAGAGATACTTCAGATGATTTGTATTCCGTTAGCTACGTAGACGGAGAACCGACAACTTTCGTTTTGAATAGATCCAGATGTGACTTAGGAGCCGGTGTAGAAAAGGACATTGTTAATCATAACCAGAAATTCAGGACATTAATTACCATAAAAGTTCATAATGCTCGGATTTCGCAATCAAAGATGGCTGCAATGTTATAATAGAACTATATAAGCACGAGAAAAAATTTGAAATTAAAGCAACTTCTATCTTACATAGTGCAGTTGCGGGCTTCGATTTATAAGACGGGCAGAAACTCAGTACTTTTTAAAAAAATTTTTATATTTTTAAATTACCTTTAACAGGTTCCCCAGTAATATCATTTCAGCAACTAACCATTATATTGCAAGTATTATAGGAATCAAGAAATTGGTGAAATAATAGCAAGAGCTCTTTTCTGAACATTTTCTAAATCATCACACAGGTATTTCGGAAGGGAATGATGAAACACGTGTGAGCAGTTTTCGAACAAGGGTTTTCTAATACAAGTGGTGAAGAAATTTCGGATTTCCACAGCTGGCACTCGATCCAGAACGCTTCAGCAGTATCATAAAAAAGTGAAATACATACGCTTGTTAGCTTTTTTTACTGTTTTGCATGTTTAACAACCATAAGTGGTTGGCCATTCATTGTTATAGGATCGAAAATGTGTTTAGAATGTTTGAAGTCGATAATAAGTTTTTTACATTTCTTAGCATTAAACTGAAGTTTGTTTTCAGGGGACCACTTTTGGACAAAGGTGACTGAATTTTGGACCTGGGTTCCAAATTGCGTTCCACCACTGGCTTGGTTTATTATCCTTAAGATGCTGGACCTTTAAACTGCCTAGTATCTATTTCGAAGGATTTTCCTTTCTCGATTGACAAGGTTTCGGTAATAATGATATGTTTCAGAACCATCGTTTGAAAAAGCATGCTGACGAGTTTTTATTAGTTTTTTAAAATCAGAAGTAAACCATGGAGGATCGTTTACATAAAGTTTTACTTGCTTTTGGGACATAATTGTATCGATACCAATAGTTTTTAAATCAACGAGAAGTTGTGATTTGCCTTCACAGGTTTTGACCTTCGCCAGGATCGATCAATCGATGGAACTTAAGTACTTGCCGAGTTCATGTTTCCTTCTTTGGCGAGTGTCCCGTTTTATTAGGGGTTTCCTGCTGGAGTTGGCGTTGGTGGGTCGTGCCATGGGCCGAAGAATGACACCATTGTGATCCGAAAGGCCAAAGAAAGGATGATGTGAACGGAGTTCTGATGATAGGCTTGATACATGTTGGTTATTATAAAGTCCAACATATCGTACCTCCGGTTGGGATATGGACAAGCTGTTTCATTTTGAATTAGGCCAAAAGGCGCCGAATCCTCAGATGGTTAAAGTCACCGGTCAGCAATATCCACATCCTGGGTAAGAGCTTGCTGCAGAGTAAGTGTAGTTGTCAGAAAATCTAACATCGTTCTGTCGTCGGAGTTTGGCGGATGGTATAAGATGCCCAAGATAATATAGGACATACCACGGGGTAATCGTCGGGGCCTAATATAAGACCAGAGCACTTCCATCTGGGGGTTCTCGAATTCGAATGAGCGGTTTGTAAGAAATTTGACGTATTTGCGTATAAGCACACCAGCCTTCATGTAATTAAGAAACACGGTTTTTAAACATGAAACTGTAACCAGGGATAAAAAGATGTTCATTGATGGTTAGATTTTGTAGCCATGTTTCGGTGAGACAGATCAAGTCAGGATTCTAATTTTGGATAACACAGCAAACATCGTCAGTCTTGGGTAAAAGAGATATAGTATTTGCGAGCGATAGACCAGACCGAAGTTGTAGATCGTTGAACATGCGCCCTTAAAAGGGTAAACACAATTTGTCCGTCCATGCATGGCTTCTTGTTCCAAAATAACAGTTTATAATGGACCTTTCTTATCATGACGTGAAACGCGAAAAGTCTGATGTTACACGAAATTTAATTGGCTCCACAAAAATATCGAGCCAATCAAACTTCGTGTAACATCAGACTTTCCGCGTTTGACGTCATTATGAAAAAGGTCTATTCAGAGGTGCTCTATTACCAATAACTAGTATCTCTGGGCTTTCTAAAGAAAATATATTTTAGCACTTATACCTTACCCTACAAAAAACGTTTAGAACATTTTAGCCAAAGCGGTTAAATTTTTAAATTGCATTTTTACTCGCAAAAATTCCATTTATCCTTTTTAAAAATGTGCTCAGGGCTGAGAGCTAACCAGAATGGAATCGGGTGTAAACGCTTACTATGGCGTGCGTAGTAAAAGTGGGGACTGGGGACGCGTGAAGCCGCGAGTCGAGCTTCTGCCAATATCTCCTCTGTGACTAAATTCAATTCAATATTTGATTACCTCATGCCTTAACAGTAACTCGTCTGTCACGCGCTTATGCTTGTGTTCCGGCATTAATTAAACTTGTTTCTATGGCAGCATTTTGAAAACAGTTCAGAGCGCTTGTTTAAACATTTTTTTTGATCGGCACGTATAATTAAAAACAACACTGCGGTTGGGGTTAGGTTGCGGTTGACCTATAGAAACCGCAGACACCGCAAGGGAAAAAAATATCTTCGCAGTGGCCGTTCGCTTCCGGCGAACGAAATGTTATGAAAAGCTGAGAAGGACAGCACAATAACTAAACTGACAATTAACACAATACAGCAAACTACTGAGTTTTGTTTACGTTTCTCTCACTAGACAGATTTGAGCTAATATCTGTCTAGAAGAGACCCAATCAGAGTGGAGATTAGCTCATATCCTGTGCTTGTGTATATAATAATAAACGATATTACTTCAAGTGCATGTTATTAAACCCTTTGTATAGCCCATAATGATAGTGCGGCATTTGATTATCCTGAAAAGATTAGCTTGAAAAACCCGCCAATTATTACTATATACGAATATTATATATTTATTAAGGTTGAAAGATATAACAGTGAAAAATATGGAGTTTTGCATTTTATTTTATGTCAGGGGTTGCCAGCCTTAATATAATAAGGATAATTTTATACATAAGATAGTATGCGGTACACGCATTGACCGCGCTGCCTATGGTATAATCTGAGCTCGTTGTCCTCGTATATTTCTAAACTGGGTTATGTTTTACACAACTGAAGTTGTTTTGTATTGAAGGGCGTACATTAATATCATCGCTTGAAACACAAAAACTACGCTAGTTAATACCCGCATTGACCAGGCTGACTATGATTATACCTGAGAATTAATAAAAGTGCATCAATGACTGGTTGTCACAAAATAAGGGATATATTGACTGCGAAATATACAACCGTGTGAGACATTCGATTTTTTTAAATTAACTATAGCAGTATAGCTATATCCCTGAAAATAATATCATTCTCGTGCATGCCATGCATAAAAATAGTCAGTTATGTAGTTTATTGACTCTGCATGGCAAATTATAGCAGTTTCATTAGTTTCTTGCGGCATGATGAAATTAGAAATCATCAGTAGCGGCGTCGCCAGTATCGATAAGTGGGGTGAACATATATTCATGTTCATGCACAGACCATAAAAACAATGAATTTGAAAAGAAATGAATAATATAAAACACGAATAAATAAGCCCCCCCCCACTTATCAAGATGGCGACGCCACTGGAAATCATTATGCACCGTCATTTTTCGCGCATTTTTCTTTTTTGGGACCATTTCATCCTGGTACGTTTTAAACAAAACTTGTGTTCTGACGAATGCAATAGAGGGCTTATATACAACAAGCATTATTCAAGCTGTTCATGGCGGAATTTGAAATGTTACGTTTGTACGTTTGTTTACACGTTCACATACGCCAGGGTTGGAATCGTACACGACAAATCGCGGCATAGTGTAATTAGTGAACATGCACAATTCAACGAGAACGAACGACTATGCAGTTATGTTAATAAGTGTTATGTTAATATAAAACAAAACACATTTGTACCAAACTGCTTGTACACATTTATAAATACATAATTACAAAGATCTTACTTTTTGGATAATGCAAATAATGTCGAAATGACGTTCAACCATTACACATTTGATGTTAGGACTTAGGGTTTCGGTTTATACGTTTACGGGTAGCGATATTTTACTCAATGAATTTCTCTGTAATTATTCACATGTTTAATCATCCAATTTTTGTTTGGCTCGACCTTTTACAAATAAATTGAATAGCCATGCCATAATTATGCTGTGTTTTCTTTGAAGATTCATCCCTATTTACCTTCATACGGTTTAAGTGTTTTCAAAACAAGACAACTGTTTTCTGCATGAGATTGATGACTTAGAAGCAACCGCGACTGCTTTGCACTTGATGACTAATTGTTGACAGTTTTATTCAATTTTTTTTCTGTATACTTATACGTGCGGTTAGAGCAAGTATTGAAATATCGTTAGAAACCTACATACTGTAATATTGAACGACGAGATGAACCCTTTGCAATCATCCGCCTTGTTAATTGAGAGTTTCAACAAATTAGTATAACAATATAGCCCTTGCGGCCTTAAAATTATACTCCTTTCTTCGTTTCCTAACCTTACAACTTGACGAGGAGGCATTGTCCGTAGCAAAGTTAGCGACTTCAAAGCTGTTTGCAGAATATTTTAAAAGCATTTAATTACATAGCAAGCAAAGGGCTATACACCACTCTCAAGAGTGCATTGCTTAAAATATACTTGGCAATTGATATCATCACGGTTATTGACACGCTAATTGTTCAACTTTTCCGTAAGCAAGTCGTCTGCATGGGTTTGAAGTCTTACATATTTGTTCCTTGTCAGTGAATTGTTTATGCTAATCGACTTGGAACGAAATAAAATTATCACATTCGTCTAAGTGCTTGTCGAATATTCATATTTAAGGTCTCATCCAGTAGCCACGCGAGTTTAAACGAGTGCAGACAACTGAGTCGCTCGGTTAATGAGGCTACTCGTTCGTTCTCGTTGAATTGTGCATGTTCACTAATGGGCCTTAATGATTAGGGGGAGCCTATTTCTCACTTATGTATAGCATAGGTTTAAGAGATCATTCAATCAGAATTGTCGGCTAACCTTGTTTTTATTTTTAACTCATTAACCCCCGTTAAGGTGTGGGTTCACTTAAAGTTAAAGTGGTAATAGTTGACCTGCATCTAAGGACGAAAGCGAACTAATATTCATTTATGCAACGTTCTTTCGTCAAAATCCCAAGATCTTATTCGCTATGTCAGTGCATATGCTAATGCGACCTATAAAACAACTTTTGTATGCAGATTGTTCCCTATGAACTTATGATATGATGCTAATTAGCAGCCATTCCTTTGGTTGTCATCTGCATGACTACAAATTTCCCCCGTTATTTCTCGAAAGACGTTTTAAGTCAAATTGTATTATTGCCAGCTAGTCAACAAATATTCCATCGTTATTATGCCTTTGGGACTTTTAATATGAACAGTATTATGGAATGACATTTGTCATATGGATAGCTATACAGTCTTTCACCATACCGAACACAATATTCATAACACAATAATTATACGAACATTAAAAAGCGGTAAAGTAGCGGTAGGTATAATGTAGATGGTAAACAAAACTTGAAATATATTGTTTAAGTTCACATATAGGACATTTAAATCAACAATTTCGTTCTCCATGGTCACTTTCACACTTGTTGTTTGCTGTATAGGCAGTGAAGCAATTCTTAAATGCAAATGATTTTAATTCGTGGCGTAGTCAGCCTGACAATTTAGTCCCACTATGCTGATATTTTGGTGTTGACAGTGAAAACAATGAATTTCTAAAGAAATGAATAATGTTAATAAAATTTCCATAGCAGGACTAAATCGCCAGTCTGGCTACGCCACTGATTTTCATAGATGAAATTCAGTAAATTATTGATCTAAAAAATATTCCTGATTTGCGGTATGTGCTTTTTCCCTTGTGGCTGTGACCAGATTATTGATCGAGGTCTGTAAAACGCCGACTAATAAACTCTATATATGTATATTATACATTTACGAGGTCATTCAGTCACACTACATTCTATATCTATTTGACAAGAGCGTTAGGGGAACGCATCTTCTATTCCAATCTTGCCAAGATAAATATTTGCGTATTTCTTCCCTACCATATAAATGCATTTATCTAGCTATCAGTTTGAAAGACCCGTTTTGACTTGATTCGTACAAAAGACATGCATATATCGACATTGAATTATTTAGGATTTCGTCCCCTTTCGTCACAACCAATAACAGACATGCATTTTCCCTAAACATGCAAATTTAAAAGCAGCAACCAGTAGGAAGGAGCGGTTTTGCTTAGGCTTACGTCTCGGTAATGATATTAATGAGCCTATAAGTCCCCTTTCGTTCTTAGATGCAGGTCAACTAATTAACGAAGATGAGTTTCCGGTTCGTTTTCGATAACTGACTGTTAAAGTGCCTATATATCAACCTGAGGGAAATAACCTATGTAGATAGACTAGACGATTTTAAAAACAGTTGCGATATATCTGATAAGACCTTTGGCCTTTTTCGTGTTTGACTGCGAGGTGTTGTGACTGAAAACTATATAGTTGCGTTTACGTACATTGGAGAACACACTAATTTTGTAAACAAGAAACAATATACATAATTATATTTAAGTACTTGAGGCAATAAATTGTGAAATCTTGTCGTATATAACCTTTTTGGTTCGTTTTTCGCTAAAACGATGTCGATTTACTTACCAAACTTCCTCTTGATATTTGCTAACGCTCTCCGGAAGTGATGACGCTTGGCCAACGCATGTGATAAAAGGGAGTAATAAGTTTCATATTTGCATAATCTGATATTAACTCCTAAGAAAACAAAACCATGGCGTTATCATCTTGTATACTGTCACGATCTTTCTATCCTCGTCAATTCTTCAGATATTCTTGTTCCCTGATAACCAAGACACGGCGTTCATCGACCGTTGAGTTGCCATCAGAGAAGACAGCAGTGCTGCCGTTCGAAAAAATTCCTGGCGTAAGAGGAACAATACGAAATGTTTTGCATCATACGTTTAGTGAAGGCAACTATTTTGAAAAAGCATCGAAACGCTTTGAAAGATTTGGTCCAATTTACAGCGAGAGAGTCCTCGACACCTGGATTCTAAACATCAATGATTTGGATTCCGCAGCGATGATTTTGCGTAATGAGGGTGCATTTTCAAGGCGGCCAGGTCTCGACGACGTTCCCGAGATTGACGACGAAAACAAAGGTATGGGGTTGCTTTCAAACAAATATGAAAGATGGTATCCAGAAAGATCATTGCTGTCAGCAAGGATGCTGCGTCCTAAGGAAGTCAGAGAATCACATCCTGTACTGAACGAAATAGCAAACGAATTCGTACAGGGATTGAAATCAATCGCACAATCTGACGGAACGGTGAACAATATTAGAGAGGAGTTATCATATTGGAGTGTAGATTCATCTGTCTCGTTTCTGCTCGATCACCGTCTCGGTTTCCTCAATCGTCGCACAGACCCGCTGGCAGCTGAGTTTACACATGCGGCCGAATCTATGATCGAAAATGCCGCAAGCCTGTTTCTTACTTTTCCTATCAACAAATACATCAAAACCCCGTCTTATTATCGGTTTCGGAAATGCAAGAATAAAGTTCAGGCCCTTGGTATGGACATAATCGAAGAGGCATTAGCAGCGAGGCAAGAACGAGAGAAAGGCGGTATTGAGAAACAGTTTTTGCTTGAGTACCTACAAGCGATGGGTAAAAGTAAACAACAAATAATGGCGATCATCACAGGGTTAATAGCAGGTAGCGTTGATACTACCGGCACACAAAGTTTGTGGCTATTGTACCATCTTTCTCGTCATCAAGACTGCCAGGAACGGCTGTATCAGGAGCTTGTTTCTGCCCTCGGCACAGACGAGGAATTGTCGGCAAAAAAGTTTCCGTCACTTTTGAAAGCAGTAGTGAAAGAATCACAACGCATCTATCCTGTGGCCGCGTCAGCGATTGGGCGGGTGCTTGAAAACGATGTAGAGCTCAAAGGCTACCATATTCCAGCTGGTGTGAATATCGTTATTCACGAACATTTAATGATGCTTAATGAGCGATATTATGGCAAAGACGCGAAGCAGTTTGTGCCTGAACGATGGCTGCGCGATGAAATTTCTGGAAAGAAGAAAGATGTTAATGCATTTGCGTACCTGCCATTCGGATTTGGTGTGCGAATGTGCCTTGGACGGAGAATGGCTGAGTTAATGATGTATACTTTGATAAGCAAGATTCTACTTAATTATCGTTTGGAATACGCTGGAAAAACCGAGGTGAAAAAATGCAGTTCAGGAGGTCTAATGAAGCCAGACAAACCAATCATTATAAAATTTTTACCGAGAGAAAAGAACATGATTTAGGTAGCCTTGTGTAAGTAATACTTATTTATGTCTGCTTGCAAATAGCATCGAACGTCCGGGGGAGAGGAAAATTTCCTGGGACACCGGCGCACACTGTAGGAAACAGCTAAGCTAAGCCTCAATCGTGACTGTCAGCTGAGTTGCTCCTCAATTGAGTGTGCTATGTCGTATTCTGCGTTTTCTGGCAGGCGTGCTATCGGCGTCAGATATTAAACATGTTGAATAATTTTGTGCACGAGTGAACATTTCCTGAGTGATTTTCATAACTTAAGTGGGAGCAAAGAACTCAATAGTTGCTGAATTAATACTGGCGGGTTTACTGACAAACTGATTAGCGGGTTTTGGGCCTGATGATCCCTGTCTACACGACGTACGGTGTTCTGAATAACCCATTAACTCATTTTTTGGTGCCGACGGGAACGGATGCATTTAAGGCCTGTTTCAGACGTCGAACTTTTTATGTGCTTATAACCTAGTATTAATCAGCTAAAGTATTTGTTTAAGTTCATTTGCATTTGCGTCTGAAACGGGTCTAACTAAAAATCACATATAACAAAAATCTTTTCTGTTTTAGAGTTAACAACGTTCCCTTGCGGGTATTAAGGGGTTTTCTGGTTGGAGTCAGCTAACAGACAGTGGATTGCTTGTGAGCAGATTGAAGCTAATTATATCCTAATGTCTGAGATTATGATTTAACATTGTGTCAATAAGTCAAATTTTGTTCTGCATGATCGATCGAGCTTTATTTCTCCCTAGCAATGTTTGTCTCACATACAAATGTAAATATTATACATCAAAGTCATCAAGCCATATTACTTCAAGTTTTATTAGACTTTGTACCCCGTTAATCCATTGCTGTAATGTCATTACTGAAAAGATTAGCTTGAAAAACCCGCCAATATTACTTCGAGTGTTATATAAGTTTATTATGAATATTATATATTTTTAAAAGTTGATGCTAAGACTATTAAACAATGTTCACAATAACTTTATATGATGATGCATATAAATTGTGATCAAACCTTAATGCTTTCTGAGACACTTGAACTGATATTGTATGTCGTGCTTTGTCGTTGCGTAGAGAAGCACACACTTCCAATATCCGATATTTGATAAGTTGATTCTTATCAGAAGGAAAAATTGCTATCGAAGTTACATAATTTAACTGCAAAATGGAAGAGCCAGTAGCATAGGGTAATTAAGGTTGATTAAATAATATACCTGTCATGATTATACGACAAACTTTGATATTGTTTCAATTTATTCAATGTAACAACAATAAAGCTGACAAGAATAGATTGTATGAACAAGTCAATCGTAGTGCCGAGCAAAGGGTGTGTAATACAGCTACAATGATGTAGTTAATAAGTTACTTCAGCTTTGTAAGGCTTTTTAACGGTGTGGCCCCCCCGAAAAAATTTGGCCTCCGAGGGCCAAATATCCTAGCAAATATACGCCCCCATTCGGAAATTTGGCCCACCTCTAAAAAACATAGTGTACCTCAACATTTTAGAGCTAGAGAACCGTTAAGTGTATAAAAGTTTTAAGTGTCTAAAGTCTGTCTAGCTGTATTCTTGTTTGTGTTCCAACTTACAAATAACACTGACGGATTTTATATGGCGCATGTAACCTTGTTTTCGTGTTTGCCGATTGTTTTTAAACGTTTTTATGCAAATTCGTATTAATTACTCCCTAAATGTTAGCCGGACGCACATGCACATTAGCACCTTCGCCAACGCATGTTGTCATCGCTTGCTCTTTGTTATTCTGACAAATTTTATAGTAGGATCAGAAGTGGGGAAAGTTCTAAAGTTATTTCTCCTATTTATGTGTTATGATGTGCAAACTAACAAACTCATTGCTTTATCTATTATATAGCATGATGGAAAATTAATTTAGATATATAAGCATAGTTCACTATACCAAGTCTAAGTGGTTTTACCAAGTCTAGATAGATAGTTTATCAAAGCAATTACATTGGAGCTTATAATCGCTGAATTGCATTAGTTTTAAAGAATTGGAATGAACACTGCACGGGTAGCAGCGCTTTCATTGTTATAAATGTGAACTGAGTCATATAAGAAGCCGATAAACTTATGAAAGCACCGCTCTATAGCTAGGTTGATAATCAATAAATTTTCATTGCCTTGGTGTAAACGTTCATATAAGAACTATGCAATGTTTATGGATGTTTATGCATGCATGCGTATAAAAGCGGAAGGAAATATCGTTGTTCTTAAAATGTCGATATCTTGTTAGATCTTGCCAAAAATAATCGCCACACGGGAGTCGGTGAATTCCAGTCCTACAAATCAATCTAATAATTATTCTCTTCAACAAACTTTAAGTAAGCGAGGTCTTGTGATAGCATGTCTAAATATTAATAGCTTAGTTGCGCATATTGATCAACTTAGGATCTTCCTCGACACTTATAAAATTGATATACTAGCAATCAATGAATCTAAATTGGATTACACAATAACTTCAAATCAGATTCATGTCCCAGGTTATGATATCGCCAGACGAGATCGTTCTATTAACGGCCGTCATGGTGGTGGAGTTTGTATTTACATCAAAAGTAATTTAAACTTCCGATTACGAGACGATTTACATAGTGAGAACCTAGAACTACTTGCGATTGAGATTCGTAAACCGCGTTCAAAGCCATTTTTGGTAGTAACTTGGTATAGACCTCCAAATTCCCCAACGACAGCTTTTACTGCTTTTCAAGATATAATGGATAACATTGATGCTGATGGAAGTGAATTCTATTTATTAGGGGACTTCAACTGTGATGTCATGTCTGCGAACCCCGATTGCAATACCAAAAATCTTCTTAATATATGTAATATCTACAATCTATCCCAGATTATATCGAAGCCTACTAGAGTTACTAATACAACGGAATCACTTATCGATTTATGTCTTACTAACTATCCTGATAAGGTCAAAGACTCGGGGACTCATTCCCTGGGTATAAGTGATCATTCTCTCATCTATCTAATACGAAAATCTAATTGGCAAGCAGTTGGTGTAAATCATTCGGTAACTAAGAGGCAATTTAAAAATTTCAACGACGATGAATTTCTGAATGACTTACGCGAAATTAACTGGTCTGATATTCGCTCATTTGATAACCCTAATAATATGTGGATAGCTTGGCTTTCTAGATTCTCGGTTGTATTAGATATTCATGCACCAATTAAGACAAAAAGGCTTAGATGCAATAAATCGCAGTGGATTAACTCCACAGTAATTAGCAAAATACGTGAAAGGGATTCCTTAAAAAAACGATTTGATAAAAATCCCAATGACGTAATTTGGATTAAATATAAAAAATCTCGAAATAAAGTTACTAAGCTCATCAAGAACACTAAGCGCAAACATTTTATGGATCGTATTAACTCGGCTAAAAGTGATCCTAAAAAAACTTGGAAACTCATTAATGAGCTGTCTTCGCGCAAAGTCCACGACTCCACAAATGTAAAATGTATTAGGCAAAAAGATGTAGAGATAACAAACTCTCACGACATAGCTAATGCATTTAATTCGTACTTTACCACGATAGGAGTAAGTCTTGCAAACGAAATACCTTCCTCTGATATAGATCCTATTTATTATATCAATTCTACCAACAGTTCATTCTCCTTTACCGTTTTAAACGTGGAGACTGTAACTGAAACTCTTAAATCTATTAATTCTAACAAAGCAACCGGCCCGGATAATATTCCTGGTAGGGTTTTGAAGATTGCTTCTGATATTTTGTCTCCTTCTCTAACTGCCATCTTCAACCGCTCACTTAATATGGGAATCTACCCAGACGATTGGAAGATGGCTAGAGTGCTGCCTATTTTTAAAAGTGGCGAGAAAGATAATCTTAACAATTATCGACCGATTTCAATTATCTCTATAATTGCTAAGGTCTTTGGTAGACTCGTACATGATCAATTCTATAGTTATCTATCAGCTAATAATTTAATTAATACTTATCAATCTGGTTTTAGACCATCACATAGCACTCTAACCTCCTTGCTAGAAACAACGAATGAGTGGTGTGTCAATATAGACAGGGGTCTTCTTAATGGCGTAGTTTTTATCGATCTAAAGAAAGCCTTCGATACTATTGATCATGCAATTCTATTGGAAAAACTTAGAGTCTATGGTGTTGACGATCCCGCGCTAGCGTGGTTTCGATCTTATTTAACTGATCGAAAGCAAAAGTGCTTCGTCAACGGCAAATACTCGTCTAGCTCTTCCATATCTAAGGGCGTTCCCCAAGGCTCTATCATAGGGCCTCTCTTGTTCTTGGTGTATATCAATGACCTACCGAATTGCTTGAACGAGGGTTTTCCTAGAATGTTCGCTGATGACACCAATATAAGTTTCAAGAGTAATAATCTTTTTGAGCTCGAAAACCTCATGAATTTTGATCTCTTAAACCTAAAACGGTGGTTAATATTATTATTATTATTAGTTTATTAAAATCGTATCGCAGTACAAACTGAATTACACGATTATCGTTACATAGGGTATTAAATATTGTAAAGTGTTACAGAATATTAATAATTTATAAAATAATCATCAATATAGTCTACATAGGTAGGCCTAATTGAGAAGTTATATATACAACGGTAAAATGACTTATTTACATACTTAGCTAGATTAAAATGGAATTTGAATATTGTAGTTCAATATTATTTTTTAAATATTATACTTAACTGTAACAAAGTTACGAAACCGCTCAGTGCATATAAGCGGTGGAGATCGAATATTGTTTTGATTTCGTAGATAATAATCATGAGCGGGTTCTTGAGATTCTACTTTAACAATAGATTCTAATGGATTACAAAAGTGTGTCTTGGATTCCCTTAACCTATGAACGAACAGTTTGCAAGCCACGTCTCTACGATTTATCAATTTATCAAGTCCTGTAACAACAAGCGCATCAGCATATGACAACGTCGGGTAAATAATTTTGAGAGCACGCCGTTGGATAGATTCAATTTCATCTGACAATGCGGATGACAAGGTAGCCCACGATGGCGATGCATACTCCAGTAGCGAACGGACGAAGGAACAATATACCATGGACAGGTCGGATTGTTTTAAACCAGCTTTCCGTAATTTGCGAAGAGAATATAATCGTGAATTAGCCTTTTTAATTATATAATCAACGTGGGTATTCCATGTAAGATCATTAGACAAATGAACGCCGAGTAACTTGAATGTAGACACAAGCTCTATAGGAACGCCTGCAACGTAGATAGGACTGAAGGAGGTATGGTTATATTTCAAGAAGCTTATAATCATCTCCTTACATTTTTTTGGATTGAGTTCCATTCCTCTTTTCATGGCGAACAGGGAAATCTCATTTACAATTATGGGTAGAAAACTAGGCGAACCCCGCGGAATGATCTCAAAAGCTGTCGAATCGTCTACAAATTTGATACGGCCCTGCCAGTTATTTAGAAGCTGGTTGACGAGAATTGCAAACAAAATGGGTCCAAGTTTGGTACCTTGCGGTAAACCACCATTAGTTTTCTTCCATGAGGAATAGCAATTGTCAATTTTTACACGTTGTTCGCGGCCAGTAAGAAAATCCTTGATCCACCGAACAATAGAAGGATGGACATCGAGACGCTTTAATTCTTCAATTATAATATTATGGTCAACCAGGTCAAAACCTTTTCTAAAATCTGCAAAGAATATTCTAATAGAGCACTGGCCTGACTCGAGAGCTGCTAAGACTGAGTGTAATAGGTAGACCAAGGCATGGGTTGTGGATTTTCTGGAAGGGAAAATTTGTTTAGGGTCCATTTTGTTAGCAACTTGCGACAACAAGGATTTAAGGGTAAAACCTTCTAAAACCTTTGCCACTTGGGATGTTAGAGAAATTGGACGCAGATCGTTCTCGAGGGTTGCTGGGGGTGACACTTTCGGAACTGGAATAACGACAGCACGCTTTAGTTGATGTGGAAAAATTCCTTGTTGTATTGATATGAATTGTATATATCAGCCAGAACAGGAGCAAATTCGATAGCAAACATTTTGAGCAGTATATTAGGAATTCTATCTGGTCCTGTGGACTTATTGGTCTTAATCTGACGAAGGGATGACAAAACAATCCCAGGATTGACGAGGAACTGGTGTGGTACGTCGGGGTCGATGGAGCTGGTATCACGTGTAAGCGGGGAAAGTGAGAGGTAAGGTTGACCAGGAAATCATTAAATGACTCAGCCAGATGTGTTACAGAAGGGTTGTCATCACCTATTAACTGTTGGTGCCATGTATTAGTAGACGACAAACCACCCAAGCTTTTAACTTCTCTCACCACTTAGATGGATTACCGTCTTTCAGTTTTTCTACTGATTTCCCAATAATATTTAGCCCGTGCAATTTTAACATCATGTTGGACTAAATTTCGCCAATATTTAAAGGCTCTTCGACGTCTTCCATATTTGAAAAATGCTTTTTGACGTTTTGGATATTGCAACTTTTAAGGCAGGGGTCATCCACTGTTTGTCTGACTTTTTAATTTTAGTTTTCTTAACTGGAAAAAGTAATCAACTGCGAAAGTAATCATTTCATCAAATTTAGCATATTTCTTCACGAGTCTGAAGTTGATAAAACATCAGACCAATGTCGGCAGTAATCCATTGACCAAAAAGTCGTAAATTGCTATCTCTAAGATCCCTTTTCAGCACAGATTTGTTCGCTTGAATAGGTGTTTATTTAAGTAAGGTTTAATTAGGATGGTGTTATGATCACTAAGACCAAGAGGGGCAGTTTAGAAACATCCAAGGTAGACTTCTTTGCATTAGTTAGACACCAATCCAATATAGCGTTTTCTCTAGTACCCACGCGTATTATTTGAGAGAGACCTGTTAGCCTCTTAACACGATTAACGTCGAAGCCAGTGCTGGTTGGATTGAAATCACCTGTAATCAAAACAATGGCATCGGGGTGGTCTCTAAGAAATATGTCGACGTTACTTTGGATATGATTGTATAAATCCCAGTTCTCAGATGCACCAGATGATGTCGTGTGGTATATAGCAGCCACAAGAATAATTGAGATGGATCTGGGTAGTCGTTTAGGTCTTAACGACAACCACAAGGATTCAATATTGGGGTCCTCAAACTTTTTAAGTCTCGTACAGGAGATTTCACAGCTGACATAAATACAGACACCGCCACCACTCGAAAATTCACGGTCATTACGAAATAAAAAGAAATTAGGTAATAATAAGGCGGAATCAGGTATATTCGGCGACAACCACGTTTCGGTAATACAAATAATATTAGCCTCATTCAATTTCGCAACCTGTTCGAGTTCATCAATTTTAGGGGCTAAGGAACGAGCATTTGATAACAATAGCTTAGGCAAATATAATTTAGACGATTCAACATCCTGTCTTGGGGTGGTGGAAGTAGACATGTTAGGGAGACACATAGTATCATGGGGTGGTGTAGAGCTAGGCATCTTACCATTACCGACCGTGGAGGGTTTTAGTAATGAGGAGGCCTTGTAGGGATTCCCATTAGTGGAAGGGGATGGTAGGGGTAGTCCATACAAGGGTGGAAGATAGGTGGCCTCGTACCGTTGAATGGAGGAAATCCTATTTGCGGTGGAATATATGGGTAGTTCATGTGGGCCCGAAAAAAAGGGGGACTCATTCTTGATGAAGACCAGGTGGGGAAAGATGACATTGGATTAATAGACAGAGGTGCTGTACTATGTGGTTGAGAGAATTTATTGCGCCGATGTGGGTCTAATTGATGGAAAAAATCACACTTTGAACCTTTTAGACAATGGCCTTTTCTGCGAAGGAAGGGACATGGTGTCAAATGTTTCGGTAGGGGAGCAGTAGTGGTAGCCAACTGAGTAGGTACATTTAAGTTGTTTTTTCTAGTTGCGTTGCGACTCGGTATAAACTCAGTAGCCATAGACACACTTTCTTCAGTCGAGTTTGGACTCTCGATTACGTTTTCCAAAAGAGGATCTGGGTTAGTCTGAATTTGTACCGCAGTGTTTTTGATCTTGGGTTCAATAGAATTAGTTGCTTCAATAATTTCTATTGTCTCAAATGTGTTTTGTTCATTATCAGATATATGCAATTCAAATTCGTGAAGCGATTCATGTAGGCTCTTAACAGCGTGAGACTTGTTTTTCGTTTTGGTTCAATGTAGGACTTCCCGTGAAAATCAGCACAAGTCTCAGCAATGAGATCAACAGTTTCTGACAACGCCTGAATAGCCTCATTACTAGCACTTTGACTCGACTTAAGATCTTTGATATCGCGACAAACATCTACGCATTTGCATAAACAAGGTTGCAGATCGGCCGCCGTCTGACATGAAAAGTCTGAGATATTTGTGTCTTTATTAGTGTCGTTAGGTCTACTTACAGCATTTAAACTTCCCACAATTTTGGAACATATAAGCTGTGTGATATCACTCGCTTCGGGGCCATCTATGTAGAGCAAACATTTAGATCTTCGCCAAGAAATCGAAGTATTAGATGATTTAAATACTTTCTTGTCGCCGCCTGGTTGATCCCATACTCCAATTAACTTTAAGTCTTCAGATACAAACTTCTTTAATAGATCGTATTCTCCCGTCCAGGCAAGACACGCATTGTCTGACAACGACATATTACAACTCAGACCAAGGTATATATTATAGATGAGTTATAAACTTGTAAAATCGGTATAAAAACTGTAAAATGCAGGAGCTCAAAAGTACACGTCTTGCTTCTATGAGTTAATGACACGCCAAGTTAAGTTTAAATATTGCTAAAACAGAATTCATGGTCATCGGTTCTCGACAACGGTTAGCAACCTTTGATGATCATGACTTTTGTGTAACTGTGGATAATGAACCAATCGAACAAGTTGAGTCCGCCAAAACTTTAGGTTTGACCGTGGATGAACATCTTACATGGACTAACCATGTTGACGTGATTACTAAAAAAGTTTCGTCTGCAATTAGTGCACTCAAACGTACTAGAGGGCTAATGAATCAGGAAACCGCAATTAAGATCTACCAAGGTTTTATTGAACCTTATTTTTCCTACTGCGCCCCAGTATGGGACGGACTCGGAGTTACTTTAAGTGATCGAGTTCAGAGACTACAAAATAGAGCAGCACGCGTCATAACATGTTCTTCATATGATGTATCATCCAATGTCCTTCTTCATAAGCTAAAGTGGAATAATTTATCACTCAAACGTCAAAAACAGAAGGCCATACTCATGTACAAAATTCTTAATGGTCAAACACCTCAATACCTACAAGAGATGATCGTCTCTAGAAGGGGGCAGTATGCTCTTAGGAATTCCTATGGCAAGTTGTTTATTCCTAAACCTAACACTGATTACTTAAAGCGCTCCTTCTCTTATAGCGGAGCATTTCTTTGGAACAGCTTGCCTGAATCCTCTAGATTATCGCCATCTCTAACCTCTTTTAAAAGTAGACTGGAATCTCTATATTCTAGTTCAACCGACTCCCACACGGCAACCAGGTAGAACAGTACTCCCACGATACTCTCTTTATTTATATATAAATTAGACTGTAAATATTTAAATATCAAATGTACTGATGGTTTTACTTCCGTGTTTAAATAAAGTGTATGTATGTATGTATGTATGTATGTATGAATGCAGTCCAATCTAGTGAAAGGGCTAACGCAATAAGTATAGCCTACCCAATAAGGGATATACTGACTGCGAAATATCCAACCTTGCATGTGGATAGTTGATCCGACTTTTTTAAATTAACTATAATTATAGCTATATCTCTAAAAGTAATATCATTCACGTGCATGCCATGATTAAAAATAATTCACCCTGGCAAATTCTAGCCGGTTCTCGCGGCATAATATAATCGGAATAATTTTTTAATCTTATACAAAATCATTATGCACTTTTTTATACTGGCCAAGTGTAAGGCTTTCGATAGCTTCCCTAACATCGGACATATCGATGGATTGCTGCTTGCGATCCTGCAAGAATTGTTGACCACAATCACACTTGTGTTTAAACAGCTCACCCAGAATCTTGCTTGTCTTGAACCTGGTTATGTACAACGAATTTTTATTCTTTCGCTAGGATATAGATACGTTCTCTGACCTAAAAAGCTTTTCCTCTCCACCGGGATGGGATTAGGAAAAAACAATTAAAATTCTCAGCAACAAATTGTTTAAGGATTCAAAATCACCAGTCCATACAAAGCATAAATTCGTGTTCGGTTTTGTTGAAGTTGCCATTAAGACCCCGTTTACACTAGAACGAAAGTTTTCGGATTTGTAGAATTATCCAGATTCATTAATTGTTACACACATGTATCGGATTCATCAGGTGTTTACACTACACTTTAGTTGTCTCTGTATGCGGATTTATCCGTTTACACTCACATTACTTGTTCTTGGAGCATTGTTTGGTCGTCATATTGAATTTCTTCGGATTCAGCGTGCAAAGCGTTTACACAAGAAAATTTTCCGGATTCAAATGTTTCTGGGTACGAAGTTTCCACAAACTTTTACGGATTCAAAGTTTCCGGATACGGCTTAAAACCGAGTACATTTTCTATCGGATTCGTTGCTGCGTGTGTAAACAGCAACATGAATCCGGTACTAAAACATTCCGCTTTCGTGATGAATCCGAAAACTTTGGTTCTAGTGTAAACGGGTCTAAGAGCGTTCGCAACAACGCTATGTTTCTTAAGGCCAGTTTCCACTCAGGAAAATTCTCCTTTGGATCGGACAGGACAGGAAAGTTTTCTTTGTATAAACGCCGCCTGAGAACTCAACGACAAAGGAAATTTTCCAATCCGTTCCGATCCAGAGGAGATTTTTCCTGGTGTTTAGTTTAGTTTACTCTAGACGGAGCTCAAAAATAGACGTCTGCACCGCATCACAGCACCATAAACTTCACAATCAAAATTGCAGTCAAAACATTACAAGAACTAAACAAGCCATACAGGAGCACATGCCGGTTGTCCAAGCCGGACTTTCCGTCGGGTCTTTGAATTACAATGAAATGGATTTTCTTGTGAACAGTAGTGCCACTTCACCAGGCCACCCGGCGGTGCTGTATTTTTATTCAGTTACTGACTGCCGCTAACCAGCTGATTAATTTCTGATTTTCTGGAAAATACAATCGACTGGCTGTGAATATGGTAATGTTATGCGTAATAAAATATCCGTATAATAAGACTTGAGCGGTGGCCCTACTGTTCATTCCCTAAACTGTGGCTATGGCATTAATGTTTCTGGCAATGAAAGGGTGAAATTGCATGACCAAAGCCCTGTTTACACGGCTAAAATGGGTACCCGTGCCCAATATTATTAGTGCTCAGGCTTCCAAAACAAAAGCCGGGCACGGATGAAATGCGTACTCATGGGGCCGTGGACAAATCTTTGCCTCTTGTTTTATTCCGAACAAAGAGCTTCTAATTCATTACGAATTAAATCTAGGTCGTTTTCATAGTTCACGGGACACCTGATGTATATACATACACCTTCATCATTTTCCAGGCAAAGCCAATCAGAATGCCTAAATTTTTAATACTTGATGTAAAATGGAAGATAATGTACTTTTTTACTGGTCACAATTTATGCATTCTGATTGGGTTAGTAAAAATGTGAACAAACTTGCTGATTGGTCTAAAACGAAATTCCCATTCGTTGCATGCACGACAGTATTTTACGATCAGAACGAATGGAAAACACTAATTCACCAACGCGTATAATGTTTACATAAAAAATCTTTTCTGTTCAAAAAGGAGCAGCTTTTCACTAAAAATGTAAAAAATGTTTCTGCCTTTAAAGCACGTCGTGTAGATGAAAACTATTCGTCAATTAGGGAAAGTTTGGGTTGCGGTTCGTAATTCACTATTTGCTTCAGAAATGAATGGTTCATTGCTTCGTGTGCGTAAGGTCTATCCGTAAGTTTGTGACTGATCAACAATGCGACAAATTGTCGTGCATTACGGTCTTTAAGTTTCTTCAAATTCACCGGATTTCCTCTGCCGATATTCCTCATTCGATCCACTTTTTCTCCAAACGGATGCTCGCCTTTAGTTAATATGAAAAAGGCAATCATACCTGCAACTTGAATATCAGATTTTTTCTTAAAATCACATATTCCCCCATGATTGATTGCCTCAATCACTTCCACACCCATCCAACCATTGGTTCCTTTCGGATCAGTGTGAAATGTGGTTTCTTCTTCATTTAGTACCCGACTCAATCCAAAATCTGTCAATCTCATGTGACCGTTGACATCGACAAGGACATTTGATGGCTTGAGATCTCGGTGCAAAATTCCCTGATTATGAAGAAATTCTAAACCAGTTAAGATTTCTTTCACCATTCGCTGACCGTGTAGCCCTAAAAATTGGACACTTCGTGTTCGAACGTATTCTCTTAACGTTTCCTCACAGAGATCAACAATCAAATACATAAAGGTGTCATCCTTAAGAAAAGTTCGATAACTAACTACAAAAGATGAATCAATTAAACTCAGAATCCGTTTTTCGTTTTCAGCAGCTGTCTGAGACGCTTGTATTAACATCCTCTTTACGGCAACTTCGGTCCCATCTTCTAGAATCCCAACATATACAAATGTTCCCATAGAACCAGCTCCCAACAACAAGGTTTTATTTGGGGAAAATAACTTTAATGGATACCCAACCTACAAAATCGATACAAAAAACTTTAAAATGTTTAGTATGTATAAAGAGAGTAAAAAATCCCTATAATTTTGGAATATAGCCATTAAAATTATTTCTAAATTATTAAAAAAGAAGTATTTGAACCGTCATTACATTTATTCCAAATTTTTAATGCTACCTATAGTATGTTATATAACATTAATATTGTTGCATATTTCTAAAACCAACAAATTACATTTTATTTGAATATAATCTTGGTATTTCGTTTTGCAAAGGAAAAATCCCATTATGGAATTCTTATATTATTGCACCATCGCGGTACTTAAAAGTCAATTTAAACTGAAGTTGTCAATTTTCGTGGTAAAAAACACAAATTGAAATTATTCAGCTAATTCTAGCTTCGAAAAAATCGTACTAGGAAAATGACGACACATAGTTATAATGCAATTGCAAATGGTCGTTTAGGAACAAGTTTAGTTAGAAATATAGTTAGTGTGATTCTGTTTGGAATACCGGGTCGGTTGTGCAAAGGTTAGATAGTGCTGACCGCAGATAGCAAATTTTTGCAACCATCGTAAAAATACTTAAAAAGCAAGGGATAAGGAAAAAATAAAATGTAAAACCAAAATTTGAGAATACTAAGGTTTTTTTAGCATGGGTATACCGAAAAGTGAGCAATCTTAAGTTGATTGAAAAAACACTACCCATTGGATGCGATACCCAGCTTTTGTATGACTGAACATCAACTTGAAACATGCTGGTTTACTGTACCTGTGTCAATTCTTTATCGACCAGTGACTTTAAAAATCGAATTTTCTCGCGATGTTTCAAGGACTTCTTCAACTCGAACTTCAAAATTCGAATAATTTCACTATTTTGACATTTCAAACTGGTCTCTCTTCTTATATCAACGTTGAACTTTATTAATGTTCGAACAACTGCAGTATTTCCTAACTTGCAAGCTATACGCAAAGGAGAAACGGAATCCATGTCGTACCCATCTATGTCTTTAACAGCTTCGCCTTGTAGAAGGTAATCAACGATTAAGTGATCTCCGTTCTTACAGGCCAAAAATAAAATAGTGTTTCCGCCATGGGTGTTTTCACATGTCACTTCAGCACCGCCTTGAACCAAACATTTGACAATATCCACTGAATTAGAGATCACAGCAAAATGAAGTGCTGTTCTATTACTTGTGTCCCTAGTGTTGACATCTACACCCTGTTTAACTAGATATTTAGCAACTTCTAATGCACCTGATCGCACAGCACAGTGAAGAGCAGTCTTGTTCTCCATGTCCGTGGCATTTATATCAGCACCATGATCAACTAAACATGTTACAAATTCTAATGAACCAGGCTTAGCAGCATAGTGTAAAGCAGTCCCATTCTTCCAATCTTTACCATTCACATCAGCACCATGTTGAAGTAAATATTGGACAATTTCAAATGAGTTTGATTTAACGGCATAGTGAAGGGCATTTCTATTTTTTCTATCCTTGCAAGTTTTAATCGCACCATGATCAAATAAATACTTGACAATATTCAATGAACAGGACATAGCGGCAAAATGAACAGCAGTTTTACTCTCCCCGTCTTTACAATTCACATCAGCACCATGTTCAACTAAATATCTTACAATATCCAATGAATCAAGTTTAGCAGCATCATGAAGAGCAACTCCGTCCATCCAACCTTCACAATTTACGTCGGCACCGTTTTCGATTAAGAAAATTACTACTTCCAACGAATTTGATCTGACAGCATAGTGAAGAGGAATGCTCTTTCTCTTGTCTTGAGGATTTATATCCGCACCGTGTTCAACTAAATACTTTACAATTTCCAACGAGCCAAGCTTGGTCGCATCGTGAAGGGCGGTTCCGTTCATCGAATCTTTACAATTTACACATGCACCATGTGTCACTAAATATTTAACGATTTTCAACGATTTTGATTTAGCGGCATAGTGAAGAGCTGATTTTCCCCAAGTGTTTACACAATTCACGTCAGCACCATACCTAACTAAGCACTTGACAATTACGAATGAGCACGAAATGACAGCATAATGAAGAGGAGTTTTACATTCCCAATCTTTTGAATTTACATCAGCACCATGTTCAACAAAAAACTCACAATCTTCTATTGAGGAACGCTCAGCGGCATAATGAAGAATTGTTTTCTTGTATGTATTCATCGCTTTCATTTATATACGCGAAAGAGGTATCCAATCATTCTACTTCCGGAATAATCACTCTTTCAGGTGCTTCGAATAGTTCTGACATAGTTTCGTATCTATATATGAAATAGAAATCTGATATTTCATTTGCTGCAAGTTTCCACCATCGCCACGAATATTGCAATATTCATCTCTGAAGTGCCGAATATTCGATGAGAAGGACGGTTCTTGTATGGGTCACCATTTTCATATATACAGTATACTAAACTTACAGCTGCTTGGCCAAAATATGACAGGAATTTATGGATGGTGGAAGGGCGTGGGAAAGGAGGGGGGGGGGGGTAGCGACGTTACAGTCGAGAATAAGTGTGTTGGGACTTAGCATCCCAAAAATACACGAAAGATTTTGATGCCAACATGCAAAAAATTTCATTCTTAATCATTTTTATAGCCGGGAAGACAAAACGATTATATTTATTAATTTTTTTAAATTCACCGTTTGCAAAATAAAATATGATCTGCCGCCCTATTATTGCGAGGGAGCCATGCAACATCTAAGGCAGGTTTTCCAGGTTTTTAGAGCGAGTTCAATTCTTCAACTAATTTTGGAAAAATGGTGTCACAGCCCATAACTCCCCCTAATATACTATGCGCCCCACCCGAATTGCAGAGCTTGCAATTTCTATCCTTTTGACCATGAAAAAAAATTCATGGAGAAGCGGATGCAATTCCTAGTGTTTAGTGCGTGGTTGAAACATATGTTAAAATTATTAAAAAAATACGAACAAAAAATCTACTAATAATCGTGCAGTTATAGCTCTCCAGAAGGTAATGGTTTTGCTTGTTTCTGCTCTCGCCTCTCTGTACCTTAAAACAGAAGCATAGACTATGTGGACTACATTTTTTAATGTAGCCCCTAAAATAAAATATGTTTCACCACCCCTCAAACCCCCCTATGCTTATACAGTTCACAGCATGCTCATATGCAGGTTCCAGGAATTGAAATTATGGGTCAAGTCCCAAAGCAAGGTATCAATGTATCAATTGTTTCGATAAAATTAGTAAGTGTCACAAAGCACTGAGTTTAAAAAGTAACCAATCAATATAATTTTTTGTGTGAGAGCTATAAGCTTTAATTGGCCCTTATAAATTTTAAATATCAGCAAACAAGTGCTTTTAAACATAGAATTGGAGCCATGCATGTCCATCAGTGGTAAAAATCCATTTTGTTGTACATACAGTAAGTAATAATAGAAGAAATTGCTAATTAAAAAAACAACAAGAACCGATTTTACAAATGTAAATAATAAAGATCTATTTATCCTGTGGAAATATAAGAGAGTATAACATGGATTTACATGGTTTACTTGGAAACGTGTCACTGTCATATGTAATAATTGTGGCAACATCCATATTGGATTTGGAGTTGAGTGGAATTAAAAAATATTGCAGATTTAAATCAGAAATTAATTCATATTCTACAGGTAAATTACAGTTAATTAAAGCAAGACTGGCAAATTACACTATATGTACTTTATTACATAAAATTATTACTTGGTTTATATAGATTTTATTGCCAAGAGAAGTGCTTGTCATGTAAGGGTTGCTAAAGCTATTGACATCACCAATGGAATAATTAATGTGGCACAGAGCCTTGATTTTCCATGAATAGCATCAGGGGCATTCATGCATGTTGTTCTATTCACAAAATGAGGACTTGATCAAAGAGTAAATAAAACTATTTCTGAATATATGATTACTTGTCAACATGCCATAGTGTAGTTAATTTTACATAATTTTTTCATAGGAACCAAGGTATGCTGATGGTCTTTGTCTGTTTGCAATTACTGTAATTGATCTAATTTGCCCTTAAAATATAGTTGAACAGATATTGAAGCTTTGTCATTACATAGTGTTGCACCATAAATTGCTTGCAACCAAAATATGAAGTCCTGCTACTGGTTATACTGTATCACATAGTGGTCCTGCCTTAGCTGAGTTAAAAAGGCTGGGACTTGACCATCCCTAAACAATGTTCCTGCCCAAGTTATAGACTAGCTGTCACTAGCTATATTTATTACAGCAGGGATACAAATAATCAGCCTAAAAATAAAATATGTAAGGAAAGCCGGTCCATTTTGCCCATTAGCTTATTTTGAAAGCAATTGTTTGTCAGAATTAAGTAATGAATATACACCAGGGTTGATATCCTGGGCCCTAGCTGTGCGCATCAGTAAAATTGCAACGTGGGAGCCTGGAAGGTGCTCAAGCTGTAGAATCAAACATAAACAAATTACCCCAAACAAATTTATTGGGATTGATAAGCCAATTGGCATAGTAATACAACAACACTGGTACAGCTTCCGCACAAAGTGAAAGATCTGCATATTATAACTATTGGTTTTAATTCTCACCTTTCGTATTCACGATCTCCAACACATTTAGTTCATGTAAAAATTTGTATTGATACATTCACTTCGAATTTCGACATTTATATTTCAGCCAAGCAGGATATATGTACAGCAACTTGCTCAACTTGCTACAACTAACAAGTCGACTCTTTAAACCCACACGCGAGCTTGAGCGACCGAGCGTAGCGAGGAAAAGGAACGCGCGGAAGCGCGTAGTAGAACCAAGCGTAGCGAGGGAACGGAACGCTTCCGCGCGTTCCCTTCCCTCGCTTTCGCGACCTCGCTACGCTCGGTCGCTCAAGCTCGCGTATGGGTTTAAAGAGTCGACTTGTAGCAAGTCTAAGCAAAGTATTGTGTTGAGAACACTGGTTGAGAACAGCATCACAACAGCATTCATGTATGTATATTTCACTTGACATTAATCATTTTAATAATTATATTATATATATTCCTAAATATTTAGACATCATTTACGTGGGCAGCGGACGCGCTAAAAATTGAAGATGTGTAAGGTTTGGTTTGATATCGTTGATATTTAGAAAGAAGTAAAGGGAATTGTAGTTTTATTTTTTATAGATAACTTTGACTGCATCGACTTTGTCTTATTCCACAAAGCAGTGACTTGAACTTATTTTTCCGCTTCTACGTTATGGATTTCTGGCGAAATCATGATCATCCACCTCGTATTCCTCTAACTATCCGGCTTCGCTCTTATCAGATATTTTGATTTCTTTTCCGTTTGTACAATGAATGTTGAACTGTTGCTGCTGGTCTAAGCTTCTTCGGTATCGCTTCGATTTATTAACATTGTGGCGTTGTCGATAGAGTCTTCGAGAATTCAGCATTCAACCATGTCGTTTTATCAGCTAAAGGTCGACACAGACCGGACGCGATGCGGCAACGCGACGCGAATTTCGAGTTTTCAGAAGCATATAAATTAAATTCTGGAAGCAAAATTTGGAAACAATGGACGCTAGAGCAGTCAAAATGTTTTATTGTTATGTAATCTACAAGAATATTATGATAGTTTAAAATTTATTTGATTCTGAAAAATTAAAAACGTTGAAAATTCGCGCCGCGTTGCCAATTCGCGTCCGGTCTATGTGGGCCTTAAGCCGGTTTTCCACTAGCGATATTTTTCGCGCGAATCGACATTTTACTTTTGTTCCCGAGCTCTCAACTGCAACCATCTAGAACTAATTTCTCAAGTACAAAGGAATAAAGTCGCTTCGCGCGAAAAGTATCGCTGGTGGAAAACCGGCTTTAAAGGTTTGACATGTGTGACGTCATAACGTGTGATACGACTTTTTTTAGCGTAATAAATAATCGTATCCCACTTCGACGTCACATCAATGGCGAAGACATCAACGTCTCAAAGGAGCGGGAATGTGAAATCACTGTTGATAGAATAAACATGGTTTGGAGACCTAAAACTACAATTAACATATTTATCATGTCAAGGTTGTGGAGCTCAGCAAGACAAATGCTATTGGTTAGTTTGGCTAATATACAATAGACTCGTGACGAGAAAGGAACCGTTTTTTGCATAAAGCTGGACAATAACATAGGTAATGAGTTTTTTTATATATTAACTTTATTTCCATATTTGCCTCAAGAGCAAAAGCAATTCCATATTTGCCTCAAGAGCAAAAGCTCATCAAGGAGGCTCACATTGTTTAGAATTACTAATTTTTGAAAAAAATATATTTGCAAAGATACAAGCACAATCATCAAAAACCAAGAAGACAAACACAGAGACAATTTAGTCATAAGGCTAGGAGAAACGACAAGTGTCCAGAATATACCGTTGAACTAAACTAAATATCATACAATTTTTTTCATAACTCAATTGGGAAGATCCTTTCAACATGCACTTAACTTTCTCATTGTCACCAATCGCTAGCCAAAATTGACCACAGACTTGTGCAGCTGAGGTAAGAAGTTTAATACGTCGAGCAGCAAAACGGGAACATGATAATAGACAATGCTTTACAGATTCACTTTCTGAACCACACGCACATAAAGGAGAATTACAACAATTAATAGTATATAAATAGTCATTCAGGGCACAGCAACCCAATCTTAGTCTTGTATGTAAGACAGAAGCTTCTCTGGTAATGAGTTGTATTGTACTTTTATTTAGTTTCCAAACCATGTATATATTCCGTTAACTGTGGTGAAATCGACACAAATTAAAGCGAACAAATTAAATTTGTAATGTTCATTCTTTTAAATAAATGATAAAACAATTATTGAATTCGGTTTTCACATGATAATGATGATATGAAAAATTATCAAGCCTCGGTTTGTCATTATATATCAACCTCAGCCTTCGGCTTCGGTTGATAATCACAAACTTTGGCTTGATAATTCTTCATATCATGTTCTACCTCATTCAATAATTGTTAATGGCCGATTGCTGTTGAACTTCGTGGCCGTGGGATGTCCTGTTTTCTTGGAAGATTAATTTAGTATTCCATGTAAAAATGAACTTCCTTTTGGAAGGAAGTCACATGACGTACGAAAGACAAGATGTCATTATTACAAATCCTGTTTGTATATATGAAGTCCACCGAAAAAACATTTTATCATGTCTTTGAATCCTGTCTACTAGAGGGATCGCTAAGATATTCAGGTATATAAGAGTTAATATATTTTTTCAAAGAAAATCATTCATTATGTATAATTCGTAGGCTGCGTGAGACAAGATCTACAAAATACAACTCACAATAAAATAAACACAATGACTTCGCTCGCATTCACATCAGTATATCATTACTAATATGATATGAGGCGACTCTTTATGTTGCACTGAGGTAGATGTTTAGTACAGCTTGCATATTCCAATATGGCAAAAGCATTGTACATGCAATAGCACAATTTTTATCCGTTTGTTTTAATCTAACCGTTTTCGAAACGAACGTCGTAGATTTTAGAAAGCCAATATCGTTTATTTGAATGTGACGATGAGGAAGGCTCGTCAAGTGAGGAATAATTTAAGCGGATAAACTCTGCAAAAGCCAAGATGCAGTGATTACGAGGCAGTGGTATTCGACTCTCCAACTAAATTTATTCAGAAAGGGACTATTAATTTATAACGTTCGCCATAATAGTGTATTCTATCGAATAGACTAACTATTCTTCTATAGCATAATATAGCCTATAGTGGTAGAAACGATCAAACTCGGATGCTTATTCCTAGTCGTCTATAGTTAATAGCCTAAAAGCAGCTAGGAGGTGTATGTCTGTAAGGTTCAAATTTGAAACATATCATTCAATATTTTGTGATAATATATCATTAATTAGAAAGATTAAGATACCCCGGTTTTGGTATACGGGTACGGGTAGGCTTAATTTTTTCATTGGAATTCGTTTTTTTACACGTTCCATGATACAAGTTATGCTTGCCTCAAGAGTTTAAAGTCTATTGGAAAAGAGTTGTCAATTTAATATTTGAAAATATTGAGAAACACTGATGATACAATTTTTTGTACAAAATTTTAGGCTATTTTTACATTTCAAAACTTTAATTTCCTTTTTTCATTTTCAAACTTTTATTTCACATCAGTTTACAATTTCGATTTTAATGAGTGCGGTGACAAGTACGGAAATGCCTTAATTGCTTCCTGTAGTCTGGAAAAATGGCCAACGCGTGGCCTAGTATACCTAGTGTTATTTCTGACGAGATTGAAAATGATAACAACCTGACTATTAGAGAACATTTACGGTATCATAATGCAGGAAGGTATAAATTGTTAAATGCCATAAATTAAATTTCCAGTAACGAAAAAAAAATCCAATAAATTGAATCTAACAAGAGCAGGCACTATATCTTTCACATATCCAGCTTTTACAGTTCATACCTACCTGCATGAATTATGATAATTCACATGCATTATTCCGTAATTATGATAAATGTAGTCTAATTATCATTGTTGTGATTAAGAGCAGGGCCACGAGTTGGCAATTTTTCAAGACCACTTGGAGGATATCAAATATTTTACGTACTTGTCACCGCACTCATTAAAATCGAAAATGCAAAAGTGTAAAATAAGAGTTTGAAAATGAAAAAAAGGAAATTAAAACTTTGAAATGTAAAAATGTGAAATGAAAGATCGAAATTGCAAAAACGTAACAATCTAAAATCGTTGGGCTTCCGTACTTAGCCAAGCCTTTGAATTATATTAAATATTAATACTCAAGCCTCATCTATAAAAGACCTTGTTTCTGAGGACCTTGCAACTTCGATATGGATCCCTCGGAAACCATTGCGGACGTTAAATAGTTCAAAGTAGTCGATTTCTTTATATGTAAACGGCGGTTTCGATGAAGTCATCGGGTTTTCGAAAATATATAGATGTGGCCAGACGTTTCAATCGCGCAATTTATTTTCAATGAAAAGAAATAGTCCGGTTGTAAGTTTTTCTTTCTGTTTTATCTTCTTGTATTGAAATCATACAATGTTGACGGCACACAAATAGAAGTATTGTATCACATAAACCATTTTTACATGTTCATGACAATTACGACTAAATGGAAACCAGGCAAAGAATAGTTCTTACGGTACGTCTCTCCTATCTTTGCTGTACCAGTGAGAAAACGTTCTTCAGGCCTGACAGCTGGTGGTTGAGGTTCACCATAAGAATAAAAGTTTAGCTATTTTACTTATGCTGAACCAAATACAATTCTTTTAGGTTCAACTCCAAGACAAATTTCTTTAACGCAGGTATGAATATTCTGTCTACGTATGCAGTATAGCTTTATTATCTACTATTTCTAATGTATATTATGAAAACTTTATTTACGTGGCAGAATTTTTTAAATCTTTGGCAAAAGTATGGGGAATCTTGGAAATCCTGCATGGGCAAAGTTGTATCGAATTTTACCAAACTTTGGGCACTTTTTTGCTAAAATTGCTTAAATTTTAAATTGAATCTCGAATTTTGTATTCGTAACTTGCAGGTTTCATCCCCTTGCCCTCCAAAACTTTCGTCCCTATCTTATAATAAGCTCATATTTCATTTTATTTTCATTTAGAAAAGAGACCAAGCAATTCATTATGGATGAACCTGGCCCAAGTCATGCAGGTTATAGCAATGGTATGAAATTATGTTGTAGTGCTATCAGAATTTACAAACGTAGCAGGAAGAGGTACAGTTGCGAAAAGCGGCAACAATTGAAAGTTTGCGAAATCACGACAGCAAGCTTTTTATGTCACGCAAAATTCGAAATCAAGAAGGCGTCGCTAGATGAACTTAAATTCGCGTTTTGGGTTTTCTTGAGGCTCCTTTGCTGCATTTTCAACGTAATCTGAAGCAATTTTTCAACAAATTGCAGTGCAGCCCTATACAAATTAGAAAAGCATCTTCACCCCACTTCCAGTTGCCTCTGCTGTACATGTAGTCAACGCAGCTTTCTCCCCATTTCCGGGGTCTGTGGATATTTGCATGCTCCGCGCTTTTGAGGAACCCTCTGTATATCATTATTTGTGAAGCACTTGTTGTTATTCTCATTAAATGTTATGTTCAATCATTCAGACTCCGTCCACACGATGCCGGAAAAATTTGAAAACGCAAGAATATTCTTACGCGTATCGTCCACACGTATCCGGCGTTTTCGCCCATTGAAAACGAAAGAATCTGAAAACGCTCTCCAGAGTGGAAGAATTTCAAAACGACGGCTAAGCGGATACGTGTGGACGGCTTTGCCGGATAAATTTGAAAACGATGACGTCACGTATCAAGTCGTTTTCATATTAATTTATAATGAGGTTTGTTTCAAGTCTGGTGGCTTATGCTCAACTTTATATTACTGTATTAGTCTCAAATAAGCCTTATTTAGGTTATTTTCATGGTGATAAAATCTTCGGCAATTCTTGTAGCATTTGCGGAAGTGTTTTACCACAGAAAATGTCCAAAATGCCGGAGTATGGTTCAGTGGCGTAACTAGAACGATAATTGGGTGGGTGAATATTCATATATCCAGTTCTGCCCTACGGATTTCTTTTGTAATTGCAATAGCTTACAATAGAAATCTGTCGGGCAGGACTAAATATATGAATATTCACCCCCCCCCATTATCGTTCTAGTTACGCCCCTGGTATGGTTATACACAATTTCTTATACACGACATGCATTTAATAGATACTCAACAACAATATTTATGAGTTTGGGCTTGTCGTCTGCCCAAAAAAGGTCCTCATTCTTGTTTTTTACTTTGGATTTGGTAGATTTTGCTTTGAATTCGACATCAACCTTGACACGCGGGTGGAAAACATGAAGGTGTATTGCGGGATCAAACAACTTTAGCGTTTTCGGGTCGTTTTTGTGTTTATATACGTGTGGACGAGGAAAAATATTTTATCGGATAAATATTTTTGCGTTTCCAAATTCTTCCGGCATCGTGTATAGACAGGGCCTCATTCATGGCCAGGGACGTAGCCGGGGGAAGAGTTGTGGTAGCGTCGTAGTAGCTACTCTCCCCCCAAACTGAAAAATTTATTGTTATTATAAACTTACTTTGAAATGAAATAATTTAAATTAGGAAGATTTATTTCTACTTTGAGTACTTTGAGTATGGTAGTTTTATTCATTCCGGGCTGAAACTCCGTGTTGACTGATGTTGTCATGCAAAACAAGCTGAAATTCTAGCCTCACGGCTACCGCCACCTCTTCCCCTCTTTAAGGTCTGGCTACATCCCTGTTCATGGCTACCATTAACTTAAAATACAGAAACTGAATGAGAGATCCTGTAAATTTGGCAACTGGATGTTATAGTGTAGGATGTCAATTGGGACCATGGTTCTGTATCCTTCATCTGCCATTTTTTATATTTCATTGGCGAATTTATTAAATTCAAATTCAAATTCAAATAAAGGCACATCAAGAGTCGATCCTGCGAAAATTTGATTATTGTGTGTATCTATAATTTATAGGTTTAGCAGGATTGCTGCAAATGAGATATGGAGATAAATATTTCTTACACTCCACTACAGAAGGTAAATCATTAATAATTAAACCATTGCTTTCATAAAATAATTTACAATCGCAAAAGGGTTTAAACAACTGATTATATTAAACTTAATAGGCTTTCATCATATGCTTGATACACTGAAAAATCAAGGAAAAAGAAGAGATCATATTCCAGAGGTACCGAAATATTAATGGCTTTTTACAACAAGGACTGCGTTGCTTTTTCTATAATTAAATTAATACTTTTTCGCATAAGGCGTAACATCAGATAGCTATTGTGTATTTTACGGCATTAATCGTCATTAACAAGTCTGTATAATTATGGATTTTTATCATCGGTAGGCGGTGGGGTTAAAAAAGGAGGTTTCATCAGTTTTATAGCAGAAACAAGCGTTGGAAGCTAAAAAGCTTCTAATGAAAAAAAAGGAAAATTCGAGTAATAAAGGGCGTTTTCAGAGATAACTGGCTAGAAGCCATCCCCGGCCACACCCCCAAATTCAGAGGGGACACCCCCAAATTCAGATGTTGTAACAACGCAGTTATAACTAGGGCATCATAAGTATATAATTGCAAATTAAGATATAATGAGATTAATAACTCGTGCATTTGATTGGTGGAAACTTCCATCATAACATTTCAACAAATTATAAAGTTATCCATATCAAATGGCGTCAATCGAGCGTTAATTGAACAGGACAATATATTCATATATTCTGCTATCCCTGGATAATTTTTTTTGAAAACAATTTCATTTTCAATGGAAATCAGCCTGGCACAACAGAATAATTATATGAATATGGCCCCCTCAATTAACGTTCAATTGACGCCCATGTCCTTATATGTTCTTCGCTAATTAGGTGATACTATTTGAAAGTTCTTATTGGCAGTGCCGGCTTTGTATGAAAAGACTGAGGTTCGATATGTAATGTTTATTCACTGCGTTTTCCTACGTATCTAATTGCTTTCTTAGTATGCTTCAGTTAATTTTTTGAAAATATTTTCCTCATTACACTTATAATTTAGCCTATAGCTATTAAAGTAATAAAGTAATCCTTAAAATTTTTTATACAAAAAAATATAGCTAACATCTAAAAAATATACATCCTTAGTAATGGAACTATGTGCACAGGAGCTAGCTATGATGTAATAACTGTGACCCACCGAACACTCGTCTGATATACTTGTATGTTCCCTTCATCGTAAGGTTTATTTTCCAGTTTAGTTCTAAGCAGCTCTTGGAGATATCAAAACGAGCATTGAAGAACGGAGAGATAAATATTGCAGAACAATATGCTGGAAGAGCAATACGAAAAGAGAAATATGAAGATGCATCAAAAGAGAGAAACCCAGAACCTTATTATCATTTAGCTGAAGTCCTTCGAGAGAAAGCATCAGACGAAACCGTGGAGTTACTTCAAAGACAAAAATTCTTACTGCAGGCTGCATCGCTTTACAACTTCGTAAGAAATTGTTTTAATAAAAGTACTGTCGAAAGTGAATTTGCGACGACTCATGAGAGTGTTTTACCAGGAAAAATCTCAAATATTCAAGAACGTCTAATCACAGCGACTGAAGGAAACAACCAACGCTGTAGATTCAATAATGAAACTAAGAAAGCCGCCTTAAAACAGTTACGAGAGGAGTCTAGGAGAGAACTTGGAGTTATAAATGTCAAATACGATGCTGAAACTGGCAATGAGGAAGAACATCGAAAAATATTTATCAAGCAAGCCGCGGAGGTAAGAGATCTATACAAAAAGATTGCATCAAAAATGAAACAGTTCTTTGCAGAAATCATTCAAGAGTGTTTAGAAGTTCTGGGTGAACCGCCATGCGAATACGAAGTAATTCTACTTGGATCATTAGCGAGAGATGAGATGACGCCATATTCTGATCTGGAGTGGGCTATACTAACCAGCTCTGATGACAAACAAGCTAAGCCATTCTTTCGTCATTTGACAATCTTGTTCATTTACAGGTAAAATATCAGATTCCGACGCTAATGGTCATGAACATGCAGAATTGAATGAGAGAGAAAATTAATTATTGTCGCTTGCTGTACTATTTTATCCCTACTTAGGGGCCGATTACGTGGACCGGGCTAGCGCCCGCATAAACGGGCTAGCCCAACATATCGTTGTTGTGTTTCTAGTACAGCATAAGAATGAATAAAATACAATAAGGTTAAAACTCAGGTATTGAAATCACTAGGCTTAAAGACATCCCTACAGTTAAAAGTTTCCCGCCAAACGCCATTTGCGCAAAAGTATCGAACTCATGTAATCGTTTGCTAAATTTCAGCCCGGCAAACCGAGCTAGCCCGGACAATTTAATCGGCCCCTTAATATACAATCGTGTTTTTTTCGCAAAAACCCATGAAAATTGTGGTTTATTCAAAAATGACAGCCTGCAGCGAAGCTTAGAACTTCAATGCAGCAATCAATGAACTCAGATTGCAAATAATTTTTTCAGAGCTACCCAGATCTAAGTAAATATTATGAAATTACTCAAATAAGTCGAAAGCTACACCCTTAAGAACTCTTTTTGAAGTTAAAGTGATATTTCATATGGGGTTATGTCTTTGCAAGTCGACATGCCAAGCTCAAAGTTATGCAAAGAGAATGCAATTCTTACAGCAAAATAATACGGAACAATCAGAATTTCTCCCATTATATAGAAGTATCACGCAAATTTGAGTTGCCTATGATCAAAATTGACACCAACCACTTCAAAGATTATAAGCTACGAGTTATTTCTCTTTTGCTGCTGTAACTGTGTTCATCTGATAATCTTGTCCCAGTGTTTATACACTCTTATTTAATTCCACATTTTATTTGGATTGAAAAGTTTACAAAATTTTTTGAAGAATAGTGTGTTTCCTGTGTTTCATAGAAAGGCACTTGTGGGAGTTTGGAAGACTCGGAATAACGAGAAAAAACTCGCCCTAAGGGCTCGTTCTCCTAAATTCCCAAGCCTGTTTCTGTAACTGTATAGAAAGACGGAAAATGTTCTGTATTTCTTAATCATAAAAGCCATGAGGTCAACAGTTTTTCTTTGATCTTCAATCATTTGCAGATTATCAACCTTGGAGAAACCATCCTACCTTGCATGGATATTAAAGTTTTAAAAGGAGAATTCGAATGGTTTTATGATGATGTAACTCCAAAAGGAATTTCCTTCGATGGCCTTCTTGATCAGGCAAGCAAGACTCCTTTGGGCAACACAAAAGATTTTGAGCTCATTCACAGCCCCACTGAAATGGCAAACTTTCAGAGCAACGTTTGGTACAATAAGGATCCTCGTCTCGGTAGGGTTCATTTCATTCATTGCCGTAAAAAGCAACTTAATCCCCGAGCCGGTGCGGAGCACCGTGCGAGGGTACTAATTCCGCTCGGATATTTACACCCACGATGTGCAAATGCGAAATCAAAGTCGTCCGCCATTATGCAATGGACCTCACGCCATGGACGGTCTTCTACGTTATGCGCATGCGCCAGTGTGAACTACTAAGCTCTTGATTGGGCGAGACAAAAATTTGTATTTTTAAACGTCAGTGATTAATTGTCATTTTGCAAAATTTTGATGAAATTTTTAAATTTATGTTTTCATATATATGGAATATATGTATTTTTATTCAAATTAGGGGAAAACTCGAATGTGGTCAGGACTTTTCACGTTTTAACAAATAACAAGACCAAATTTTCGAGTTTCAACCGAATTCACCGTGTATAATGAAGTCGGAAGATTTTAGTTTTTTACACTTGATAATATTTCATCCGGCACAGCTTTAAAAAGTAATTCTCTTGTGGTAAACACAACTTTAATATTCTCAAATGTATTTCACTATAAATCTGAATGTGTTATGTGATAAACGACATTATAAATTCATTTATAAACTCCGTTTTCATAATGACAAAAACCGGTCGAAGCGTAACATAAAACTTCGGAAGTTGTATGAGACGTCTGATGTTATATTTCATGGTAATTAATAATTAAAACAATTTACCATAACACTGACTATAGATGAGTGATTTAACTTCCAGAAAAAGGTAGAAATCTTGTCGTATTTTGCCATTTTTTCACAAAAATATGAGGGTATTAAAACGTAAACTTGGATTCTTTAAAAATATACGGCCGTTGCGAGTTGCTATGACTACAGTGTTTCCACGTACAGAAAAATATTTCCATACTTTTCTCAATTTCTTTTTCTCTCTATACCATGTACTCTCCAAAACCCCAACCCACATAAATTTTCTAACAATCATGTTACCATCCCTCTGCTTAACTGATTTCGTTCAACCGAGGCGAGGGGTTGCTGCATGCATGTATTTCTAGTAACTGCAATATGTTATAATGAACGCCGCCACCGTATAAACCCAGACTTCTTGCTTCTGCCGTTGTGAACAGTACAAAATAGAGATTTAATTTTATAAACTTTATATTTTATGTTATTATATCATTATTAGGTGAAATCCTTTTGAATGTTGCGCCACTCGAAGAAAACAGACATGCTTTACTCGATGAATACAACATGGGACTTGAAAAGATCTTGCGTGAACCATGTGACTTGAATGGCTGTGCTCACGATAGCTTAAATACCAAACCGACAAGAGGAACTTGCCGAGGACTGCGCACGCTCCGAGAGGACATAACCAGATATGAACCACGTCTATTGGGCCTAACTTTAGAATACGAGGGGTATGTAAGTTCTGAACCTGAGGCCTTGGTAATGTTGTCAGTTTACGATGGGAAATTGTTTGATGTAAAGAAAGAAATATCGTTTAACTGATCGCGTGGTTGTAGCTCTATTGAATGTCTTTGGAATCGAGGGTAAAGGATCTTTCGAAGCTCTGGACAAGTTGTGTGAGAGAAATGTGATCAGTGCAAGTGCCAGAGATAACGTAGCTAGTGCTGTAGCAATTGCCCTGAAAATGAGGTTGAGTACTTATCTTTCTGCTGGGAAACAAGAAGAGGCAATAAAAGGAAAAGCAGAGAACGCTACATCTGCTTACCATATTCCAGGAGAAAAAGAGTTGTTTCATTTTTTCTATGTGTCCACTCCACTGTTTGAATCATTGCATGGGTTGTGTAATGACGCTAAGAACTCCCCAGACGATTTAGCACAAAGAATGTTCTTCAGTTTCTCTGATGCCATGAAAGGCCACATTTATTGTCGTCTCCTAAATTACAACGCCGCGTCAAAATGCTACAAGCGTGCACTTCAAGATGACCCGGGAAATATTAGCATACAGATGCGACTGCAGGAAATTGAAACCATGCTCAGTCCGACCAAAGAAGATTATAATGAATGGGATGACTTCACGAAGTATATTATACATGGCACAGGGCGCTCTTTCAAATATAAAGATTATAACAATTTAGTTAAAGAAGGAACTGAAATGAAAGAAATTTTTATCTCCGCAATAAAGCACATGGGAATAAGTGTCCAAACGATTATTATTTTAAACTGTCTTTCCGATTTACTCATTCTCCTCATGAAAAAAGGCGAGGCATACAAATGTCTGCAACGCGCTTTTACAATGGGGCAAACCATTTTTGGTAATAATCCCAACTTACATTACGCCATAACATCGATGTTGCTTGGAAATTTGTGTATTGATTTAGGTAAGCTGGAGGAGAGCATCTTCTATCTTGAAAGATCGATTAAACTCCTTCCTTTTTCCGAAGCAAACGAAAATTTCACGCTGGGGAGAAGTGGAATCTACCGGAGATTGGCAATGTCCTATGCCGCCAGGGGGGATTACGAAAAGGCGATATCGTATGCCATGGAAGATTTCTTTTTGGATAAAGGTTCAGGCGTGAGATCTGAACCAAGAGAAAATTGTGCTTCTTTATGCCAAATAGCATTAATTTGGTCATGGGCGGGAGAAAATGAAATGGCAATGGAATGTTTAAGAAACGCGAACGAAATTCTAAAAAATGCTGAAGGAGTGGAACCGAGCAAACTAGCAATGACATCTTACGTTGCATACACGTACAGTCGGTCGGGTAAAATTCACGAGGCGAAACTATTACTTTATCGAGGACTCGAAGAAACTCAAAACGAATTCAAAATCTATTATCTGGAATTGCTCGGAAAGTTATGTTGGGATCATGACTTCACAATAGAGGCAGAACAGCATTTTAAGGAAATCATAAAAATTCAGAGAGAAAGTCACCCTGAATTCGCCATCGTATCAACACTGTTAATTCTCTCCAAGATTGTGATTAAGAACAACAAGTCTTCTGAAGCCGTCAGCTATCTGGAAGAGGCTGCAAAATATCTTTCCGATCAGAACGACAACGATGGAAAATTTGATTTCCTAAACGAAATCGCAGAGAGGTGGGAAAGTCTTGAAGACTACAACCGAGCCGAGATGTACCTGACGAAAGCCCTCGAATTGTGCGAAAAATCTGCGTTAAACTCGGAAATGGAGTTACGACGTGAAATTGATCTACACGTTAAACTGGGGGATCTCCTTGAAAAAGTCAACTCGTTGAAAGGGGCTGAGGAGAGTTCAATAACAAAGGAAAAAGTGAAAAATGACCAACGAAAGCATTATGATCAAGCCTATGATTTGTTGCAACAATATTTAGTGACAGCCAGGTTTAGCCGCAGTGTCGGTGATCTGGTTATTCATCTGGTAAAGAAGTTTATGCCTTTCGACGTGTTAAAAAGTGGGGAGCTCTTGGCGCTATTAATGAACATGACGGAGTTAAACGAAGAAACTTTGCAAGTTTTGGAAAACCTCAACGAGCAATTATCGGATTTGCTTTTCACTGAAGGTGTGATCAAACTTGAAGAAGATCATTACGACGAAGCCCTGGAATTCTTTCGCCGCTCACTTAAAATAGAGCTTAAAATACATGTTTCAGATCCATTTCACTCGCATATTGGAAGAATTTTTCGCACGCGTGACCTTTTGCTTGCAACTATAGACGACGCGTGCAGGGGTGAGCTGGAAACCATCAAACAGGATGTTCTCGAAATCTGGGAACAACATGAGCAGAAGAGAGAAGAGCCAACTACGAGTGTGGATAAAGCCAACTGCTTTGTACGCATGGCATATTTATGTGTCTATTTACACGATTACGAAAAAGCCGAAGAATTGAATCACATTGCCTTTGACATTTTTGCGAATGCCAAAGAAAGCAAGGATCGCCAAATTGGAGACTCTGGTGTAAAATGGTGCAATTTGACAAATCTGACTTTGGAATTCGTGAAGCAAAGGAAAATACAAAACAAGGCTGTTACGACAGAGAAATTGATATATTTCGGCAAAAAAATGCTTCCATTTATTCGTGATGGCGCGAAAATAAGTGTCAAGGAAATAGTTTTCAACTGTTGCAACGCTTTTGATGATTCAGAATTTGAAAACAAGAACTGTAGGTTTTTGTCAGAAGAAACGAAGAAACAAATTTCTCAATGCTCAAGACTCTTACGCGATGAGCAAGGGGGGAACCAGGACACAGAATACTGTACAAACGCGCAGAATAAAAGATAAAATATCCCCTTAAAGCAGAATACCATAAGGCCTGCTTGTTGGCAAGATCTATTCTGCGTAACAGTAATCAGAGTTACTCTGGAACAAAGGAGAACACTTTTATTTCTTTGATAGAATCGTTGTCAGGAACGCGCTCCTGCGTCAATTTCTTTATTAAAGAAGCAGAAAACGCTAGAAATAAGAAGGACATACACAAGATGATTGTTTTTCTGGAACTAGCTTCCAGCCAGGCTTTGGTTCCCGAATGTGAGGCAAAAATTTCCAAATTGGTTGGAGATTGTCTACTGCACTTGCAAAGTTACAGAATGGCAGCGATCAACTTCAAAAAAGCAGCAGATTTTTATCGATCAGTACATTCATCTAAACTCAACCATAAAGTCGTTTACATGGAGAGTTTAATTGGTCTAGCCAAAAGTCGAGTGCTTTGTAATGATTTGGAAAATGCATTACGCGCATGCGAGGAAGGTTTGGGGATTGAACCTGAACAGACGACATCTGCATTGTCAGAAGAAAACCTTGAATTGCTTTATTTAACTATGAAATGTGCGTTTCTGCTAATCACGCGTTCGTCTTTACCCGATGAACGCGTTCATCTCAAACATTGCTATGAGAGGTTCTATACTATATTAGGCGAGGTCGACTATTTCAGACCTAAGGCTGATACTGGGATGGAAGATGATGAATTTTTTGCCATTCTGAAACAATGTAAATTTTGTTTCGTAATTTCGGTTATAAGAGAATGTATTTCCTTCCACCTTGCAAAATCAGAAGAAGAACGAATGAACGCACGACAGAGAGCAAAAAGTCTTGAAAACTCATTTAACGTGAACATATTTAATACAAACACCAGAGAATGTAGGAAATCAGATGTTGAAGAGATCCAGCGCGTCCGTCGTCATTGCCGTTCCTGGATAGGTCAGCTTTTAGTGATCATTGGTGAAACTGAGAATGCAGTGATTCATTTAAAAAAATCTTTGGCTGGCTTTTTCGTTCCAGATTTTACCGGTTCCATTATACCGTTGGACGAGATCATCCCATTGTTGGATGCAATTACGGCAACCAATGCAGCCTCGTCATCCGCACAAGAATCACAGAGCCTGTTCCAGCAGACCCTGGAGTTATGTAGGGATGAATACCTAAAGGTAAACGACAATCCATTTCCACTGTTGAATTTTTTCCGAAATCTGGGTAATCACTTTGTTGACGGAGGACGGACTTGGGAAGCCACTCATGCTTATAATGCTGGATTAGAGGTCGTCCAAAACCTGATCTCAGACGCTACAGATCAAGTGAACGCTCGGAATGAAATGATGCTGCACCTTGCCAATGTCCACAGACTTCAAGCTTTAGAAAACACAGGAAAAGGCGAAGTGGAAGAAAGTCGCTTGGCAGAAAAATACTACAAGTTTGAAAATGGCAATGGAACAGAAAAGAGTAGTATTCATAAAAATATCATGTATGCCAACTTTTTGTGTGACAAAGGGCGCTTTGAAGAAGCCATTGTCGTGGTGAATAAAGCAATTGAAGCAGACGACAAGCTGTGGTCAACAACCGTCATTTGTTCATTTTCAGAACGAGTTCTTTATGGATCAGATGTTAAAAACTACATTGAATCTGACGGTGAACTTCTTACAAAGATGGGAAACTTGGCGTATACAACACTAGTTTGCGCGTATGTACAACTTGGAAATGGAAGAGAAGCATGCAAAGCGCTAGACACACTGTTAAAGAATGGCGAAGATTTGCCTCCCAGTGCAATCTACACAACATCCTGTCTTTCACATCTTATTGGCTTCTGCCAGAAATATTTACTGTCGCTTGTTAAAGATCGCATGAAGTTATCATTTCCCGATTCAGAATTTACACTGTCACCTGAAAATTTGGCAAAATTGTACTACGAGTTGGATCCAACTAGGAAGCTTTCGAGTTTGCGTTTTATAGCAGATGCATTGGTTATGATGGGGAGAGGTGATGAATCTATTTCTTATTACCGTGAGTTTCTTCTGTTGATGGATAGGTGTGAAGGGGTTCTTGATAAATCATTTGATGAACAACATGCTATTATTTCTCACCTCTCATTTCCGGAATCAAGATACGTTTACCTGGCACTGGGGTCGGTGATGCTGGAACACCAAGATAAGATTGATGATGCAATAGCCTGCTACCAGCATTGTCTAGTCTTGGCCATGGGTCTTAGTGACGACACCTACCAAGACTCTGTGGCAATTCTGACGG